GAGACAAATTCCTTGTGTGTCTAATCACACTTGGCCAAATATTTTATCTACCTACTTTATTATTTATCTAAATTAATTTATCTTAATTTATTAATGAAATAAAATTATGAATTTATTTAATTGATCAAATTTATTATTTTAATTTTTCTATTATTCCGTTATCTAGTAGGGGTATCTATCTTGCACTCAAGAGGAGTAATGGGAAATTCCCACTATGAGAAATTAGATGCACCAAAAGGAGAGACTGAGAATGCTGGCTTGGTGTCTGGGTGATATATTCAATCTCTCTGGTTAATTTTAGCTTAGTGTGTGGCGAAATGCAACTGATCCTGGTGAGCTAGCTTTATTTAGGGCTGGGATGGCCAATCTTGGCAACTTTGAAGATTTGTGGACTTCAATTCCCAGAATTCCCTAGCCGGTTACGCTGGCTGGGGAATTCTGGAAGTTGAAGTCCACAGGTCTTAAAAACTTGTCGAAGTTGGACACCCGATTTAGGTACAGAATATTCTCTGGATGCTGTGTTTTCAATTGTAGCTGAGTCTATTTTAGCATTGCAGCAAAAAATCTTTCTTTTTGAGGAGTTATTAGGTATGGCCTTGAGTTACTTATTAAAATAATGAAGACTGGATAAAAAGATTTTTTTAAAAAATATGTGAAAGCGACCAATTTCAATAAACACGATTAAGCCTATCAGCACTGTGTATAACAGGCCTGGTTGATAATTTCTTATCTAATGGAACTTCTTGTGGCTTTAAGAAGTAAAGTAAAATGTAAAATGATTTGGGTGGTAGGATAATGATGCTTGGACACAATGGGTTGCACAGCTGGGCAAATACAGCTTACTATTCATAAGTAAGATAGTTCATAACTGGTCAATGACAATGACGATTTTATGCTCGTTGTCAATGGGAACCTTTTTTTAACCTACTCTATTCTATACTGAACCTGCTATTCTCATGTCATTTGTTCTGTTTTCCTATGTCACTCTCATGCTATTTCAGCCATGTTTCTAACCTTTGCCAGCATTATATATGTCACTCTGGTATCAAGTAACTTTCTTTTTTAATTAATTAAATTTATATGCCACCCACCTCACTATTAAATTACTCTGGATGGCTTACAGCTTAATTACTTATTTTTACTTAGTGTACTGACCACACAAGAAGAAAAAATGCAAATACTATACAGATATTTGCAAATTTGAATGCGAATAGAACTGCCATAATAATTTTATGTGTTTTAATTTTTGATTGGGAGCCTCTCAGAGTTACCTGGAAAAGGGTGGCTATATAAATATATTAAATGTTTTTTTAAAGCAAAACTGTAATCACTACCTAAGGTTTTGAGATCTAGTTGACTTCTAGCCATTTCATATTACTATATTTCACTTACTGTGTCTAATATTAATGTCCACTACTAGTTATATTAGTAGCTTGTAAGTGGCTTGTAAAAAGGATATGTAGGAAATGTTGGTTTAGATTTCAGTGGCTTCAGTTTAATTTTTTTTTTATTTTTTTAATTTGATTTATATGCCGCCCTTCTCCGGAGACTCAGGGCGGCTTACAATGTGTTAAGCAATAGCCTTCATACTTTTGTATATTTATACAAAGTCAGCTTAATTGTGTGGGATACAAATAAATGTAGCTTTGAACACAGTTCAAAGAGGGAAAGCTGGTTTGGCATTTTGGATCTGAAAAAACAGGTTTAACTGGAGTTATAAGCAAGTCCTTCTCATACCAATCTTCTTCCGTTCCTAAGAGTCTGCGGTGCTTTGGATTTCATTCTAGTGAAATGCAATAGAAATGTGAATGTGTACAACTTGTGTACGATTTATGAAAGCAGCTGTGTTTTCCAGGATCAGACAGCAACTGATACAGTTGCTTTCATGAGTTGCAAACAGATATTAGAGTCATGGCTCAGTGTGTCCCTAAACTGTTAACAACAGAACCCAAACATTGCCAAGCCCTAATTGCAGATATTTTACTAATTTCCAAATTAATGTCAAGGGGGTTGCAATCGTATGTATATTTGTGATTTTACACCAATTTTGAAAAAGTCATTTTGCACGAGAGTCATTTTATATCAATTTTGCATTGTTTCCATTCTTTTCTGCCTTAGTTTAAACTGCAGGTCTCAAAGAATTTGGGCCTAAATTTGAACCGCTGCCTGCACTAATATTAATCTGGCCAGGTTCTGCAATCTGCTTCAGAAACCCTGCTATCTTTTTGGAGTCAATTCAATGAATGAACTCAAAAGGAAGAAAAAGTTGAAGAAAGTCATGCTTGAATAAAGTTTATTAAAGTTTCACTTATCAGCAGAAATTTTGGGCTCATTTCTGGTTCTAAGTCAAGGACTACCTGTATAATAGACAAAGTAGAAGTAATAGCAGTTAAAATAGTATTTTAACTGACAATAGATTAAGCAGTATTTCCTTTCTTTTGCTCCCTGTGTTTAATCTCTTTGCTTGCTGTCATTAACTCTGTAAGGTTGCTCTTCCCAAAATGAAATAATGTGATGAAAAGGTATCACACTAGAAATCTGGTACACTGTATGCACTCCTGATTTACTCCCTCAGTATCAGAACTATTATGATGTCTATAACCAATTAGTGCATTTTTTAAAAAAAACATTCTGGATTCTTTTAACCAGGGTGGATTTGATTTAAATCGAGTTGATTTAAATCACAATTTAAATCATGATTTAAATCACTAGTAAAAAGGCTTGATTTAAATCAACTTGACCGCCTGCTACCACCAATAGCCTCCCACCGGCCAGTACGCTCCCATAGAGAGGGGCTCCTCCGGGTGCCGTCGGCCAAACAATGTCGGCTGTCGGCCCCTAGGGGGAGAGCCTTCTCTGTGGGGGCACCTACGATTTGGAACGAGCTCCCCCCGGAGATACGTAGGATCCCGGATCTGCGCACCTTCCGCCGCGCACTTAAGACTTTTCTATTTTATCAAGCTGGCCTGGCCTAAATCTTCCCCCTTTTTAAATGTGGAAATTTTAAATTTTTAAATTTTAAATTCGTCTTTTTATAGGGGTATGGGTAAGGCATTTTAAATTGGGGAGCCATCTTAGATTTAATTCTGTTTTAAACGTATTTTAATTGTTTATATTGTATGTTTTTAACTTTGGCTGTGCACCGCCCCGAGTCCTTCGGGAGAGGGGGCGGTATAAAAATCTAATAAATAAATAAATAAATAAATAAAATAATTTTTAAAGAGCAACTGTCATCTCTGCTACTCCTTTAACCCACTATTGACTCACCAATAGTCCCAGAGTTGCAGAATATACAGCCTCATGCTAAATAACTAAGCTCCATTTCATGCTGAATAAACTATTTATGTATCTTTAATAGAAAACTATCTTACAATAGATTTTTACCCCAAAAGTTTTTTTTATTTTTATTAAAATAAATTCGATTTAAATCAAAAAAAATCCGATTTAAATAAAAAAAATCTGATTTTTTTGATTTTTTAAAAAAAATCATTGATTTTATCCACCCTGCTTTTAACAGTAAACCCTTTCTTGACCTGAAGGGAATGTTTTAATTATTTTTACACCTCTGGGGGCAGCCTGGGACATCCTTGAATGATCACTCAGAGGCAAGTCTGAAAATATCCAGCTCTTAATTCCGTCACTTTGTGATCAAACTCTTGGCAAGACAATCTGTATTATCCCTTTGTTGTGGAATAGGAACTGGAAAATGCATGCAACTTGTGGGTATGGCACAGTGACTATGGTATTTGCACAGGCATCAAGGACAGATCCAAAGTGAAGTCCACCCTTGGTCTTGTAAATTCATTGAGGGACTTTTGACTTTGGGGTAATCTTCTCTCTCACCCTAAACACACCACAAAATTGCTATTTTGAAGGGGGGAAAAAAGTAGAAGAAAGATCCCATCCACCGCCTCCAAACTTGGAAGGAAAAGTGGAATATCAATCTAGCCAAATCATTTTGGATGTGCAACAGGACTATTACAAATCCAGAGCTCCCCAATCTGGGTCCTGAGCTCAATTGCTTTCTTGCAGATGTTTCATGACAAAATTAGGTTAACATCATACCTAGCAGGCAGGGGGGTTTACTCTCAGTTTAAACTGAGAGCAAACCCACTCCTTACTAGAACTGATGGTGTTTCCTACTTGGGTAATGAAACACCTGCAAGAAAGCCACCAAGCTCAGAGAGCCCCAAGGACCCAAATCGGGGATCTCTGGATTTGTAACAGTCCTCAGTTGCACATCCAAAATGATTTGGTTAGATTGATATTCCACTTCTCCTTCCAAGTTTGGAGGCGGTGGATGGGACCTTTCTTCCTCTCCCAAACCCCATTCCCACCTAGCACCGATGACGTTGACTAGTTTGGGTAATGTCCTCAAGCAAAGCACCAAGCCCAGAGACCATCAAGGACTCCACGGTCATCCTCCCCCACTTCTTCTTTTCCCCAGTTCTTCTCCTCCACCTCCTCTCTCCAAACCCTCCTCCCTCCTAGCACTTCATGATATTGCCTACAAGATGATTTGTCTACAAGCAAATCATCAAGCTCAGAGACCACTAAGGACTCCAGTCTTTCTTCTCCTCTTCCTCCTCCCTTCTTCTCTCCTCCTCCTCTTCTTCTCCTTCTCTTCCTCCTCTTCTTCATCTCCTCTTCTTCTCCTCTTCCGTTCTCCTCTTCCTCTTCTCCTCTCCTCCTCCTCTTCCTCTTCTTTTCTCTTCTCCTCCTCTTCACCTCCTCCATCTCCCTTCTCCTCTTCCTCTTCCTTCACCTCCTTTTCTTCTTCTCCCTTCTTTCTCTTCCTCTTCTTCTCTTCTCCTTTCTCCTTCTCCTTCTCCTCCTCCACCTTCTTCCTTTTTCCTTCTTCTTCCTCCTCCTCCTTTCGCCCCCTCCTTCTCCTCCCACCCTTTCCTCCTCTTCACCTCTTCTTCTTCCTCTTCTCCTCCTCCTCCCACCCTTTCCTCCTCCTCTTCTCCTTCTCTTCCTCTTCTTCTCCTTCTTTCTCCTCCTTCTTCTCCACCTTCCTTCTTCTTCCTCCTCCTTTCGCCCCCTCCTTCTCCTCCCACCCTTTCCTCCTCTTCACCTCTTCTTCTCTTCCTCTTCTCTTCTTCTCCTTCTCTTCCTCTTCTCTTCTTCTCCTTCTCTTCCTCCTCCCTTCTCCTTCTCTTCCTCCTCTTCCTCTTCTCCTCCTCCTCCCACCCTTTCCTCTTCTCCTTCTCTTCCTTCACCTTTTCTTCTCCTTCTCTCTTCTCTTCTTCTCCTCCTCCTTCACCTTCCTTTTTCCTTCTTCTTTTCCTTCTTCTCCTCCTTTCTCCCCTTCCGTCTCCTCCCACCTTTCCTCCTCCTCTTCTCCTTCTCTTCCTCTTCTTCTCCTTCTTTCTCCTCCTCCTTCTCCTCCACCTTCCTTCTTCCTTTTTCCTTCTTCTTCCTCCTCCTCCTTTCGCCCCCTCCTTCTCCTCCCACCCTTTCCTCCTCTTCACCTCGTCTTCTCTTCCTCTTCTCTTCCTCCTCCCTTCTCCTTCTCTTCCTCCTCTTCCTCTTCTCCTCCTCCTCCCACCCTTTTCTCCTTCTCTTCCTTCACTTTTTCTTCTCCTTCTCCCTTCTCTTCCTCTTCTTCTCTCCTTCTCCTCCTTCACCTTCCTTTTTCCTTCTTCTTTTTCTTCTTCTCCTCCTTTCTCCCCCTTCGTCTCCTCCCACCCTTTCCTCCTCCTCCTCTTCTCCTCCTCCTCCTCCTGTTGTTGTTGTTGTTTCTTCTTCCTTCTCCTCCTCTTCCTCTTCTCTCTCCAAATCCCACCTATTTCCTATTCTCCCTGACGGGCTCCCGGATCCCCGGCCTGCAAAACTCCCGAGAAGGCAACCGCGCCGGAGCCCGAAAAGACAACTCTTCCTGCCGCCTTCCCGCAGGCCTCCCCCTGCCCTTCCCGGGAAGCCCGAACGGCGAATCCCCGGAGGCGGCTTCCCTCCTCGCCAGGGCCTGCCTCCGCGTGGACTCCGCCAGGCCTGCCTGCTGAGGAGCGAGCGGAGGGCCTGGGAGGGAGAGGCGGCGGCGGCGGCAGCTCCTCCTTCGGCGGCGCGCTTGGGGCCTCCCTGGCTACTCCTCCTCCTCAGCCGGGAAGCGCCGCTGAGACTGCCGCCGCCGCCGTCGAAGCCGGGCCCGCCCTTGCGGAAGGAGGCGGATCTGGCGGCGAGGTAAGGGGAGGCCGCGGCCCTCAGAGAAGGCCGGAGGGGCTGAGGGAGGGAAGGGGGGAGAGAAAGAAAGCGCCCCGCAATGGCGGCGCCTTTTTCCCGCCAAAAAAAAAAAAAAAGTGGAGGGCGCTTTGCCTGGCTTTTCCCAATCTCCGCGGCGGCCCCGAAACGGCGACCCTCCTCATAAAAGGAAGGGCCGAGACACCCTCCACCACCCCTCCTCAACGACCCCCTCCTCACCCCCCGAAAGCCCCTCGAGGTGGGGAAGGTCCCGTCTCCCCTCAGGATTAACCAACTTCACCTCCCCCACCCCCACACACACACGGCAAGGCCGCCCTGCCCGTTTTTATTTTTTATTTTCTTTCTTTTTTTTTAATGGATCCATCCCCGGTTTTGCCCCGTCTCCTTTCTCTCCACAAAATGGGTCCTCTCTTTCCCCCCGCTTTTGTGGGAAAGGTGGATCTGCGCCCCTTCCCCTCCCCCCCGCGGTGATTAGTCCTCGGTTTACAGCCGGTTCGTTTAGTGACCATCCGGATTGGTGTGGGCACAGTAAGAAAAACCAAGGTACAGGAGGCCCTCGACTTACAACAGTTTCATTTAGTGCAGGGGTCTCCAACCTTGGGCAGGTTAAGGCTGGCGGACTTCAACTCCCAGAATTCCCCAGCCAGCTTTGCTGGCTGGGGAATTCTGGGAGTTGAAGTCCGCCAGCCTTAACGTGCCCAAGGTTAGAGACCCCTGATTTAAGTGAACTGACCGGGCCGATGACTGTTTTTTTCCAGGGGGTGACATTTGCAGCATCATGTGGTCAAAATTAAGATCATTTTAGCAACTGACTCATACTTACGACTCATACATACTTACGGTGATCCCCTTTTGCGACCTTTTGACAGTAAAAGTCAACGGGGGAAGGCCAGATTCGCTTAACAACCGGGTTTACTAATTTATCAGCCGCAGCGATTCGCTTAACAACGGTGGCAACAAAGTGGAGCAAAATTCACTTAGCAAACGTCTCGCTTAACAAGAGCTGTTGGGCTCAATTGAGGACTACCTGTAGTTGAAAGCAAGAGTGCTCCAGGAATTCTAAAAATGACAATAAATCCATTATGGTTTGACGGGAGGCACAGGCCAACTTTGGATAACATTAAAAAATAATACAGGCAGTCCTCAATTTACAATCTTTTTGTTTAGTGACCGTTCCAAGTTAACAATGGCACTGAAAAAAAGTGACTTAGGGCCGTTTTTCTCACTTAACGACCCTTGCAGCATCTCTGTGGTCACCTGATCAAAATTCACACCGCTTGGCCTCTGACTCGTATTTATGACGTTTGCAGTGTCCCTGGGTCATGGAATCCCCTTTTGTGACCTTTTGACAGACAAAATCAATAAGGAAGCCAAAAGCCACTTTAACAACCATACTACCAATTTAACAACTGCAGTGATTCACTTAACAACCGTGAAACGTCATAAAATGGGACAAAACTCACTTAACAAATGTCTCACTTAACAACAGAAGGGTTGGGCGCAGTTGTGGTCGTAAGTCAAGGACTATCTCTATTCTATACCAGTACTATTTGTAATTATAGTACAGCATATTTATTTTTTTGTAGTTACTATAGTAGTCTTTGCTTTTAAAGTGAAATGGCATAGAAAAGTTCTTTCCCCTTGTATCAAAATTGGACCAGCTATTTACTGTAATTCAGAAATGTCTTCAATATCTTTATTATTCTTGAGATTTCTGAGCACAGCATTCCATCATCTCCAATATAAATAAGTTTTATGCTACTCTTGTTTTTCTTTCAGCTATGGAAATGTTGCGGTTTTTTTTTTCTTTTTCTGGAGCTCAGATAGAGAATATGGTTGTTTATTTTCTGTACATCTCCAGTAGGCATTTGTTCAATAATCATAATGGCACCGTGGTAGTCATATGGATTAAAATAATAATCCAATAAAAGCTCTTAAATCCAACTGGACTCACAAATTTTAAATTGATTTTAAATTGGGTTATTTTAATTTACGGCCAATAATATTTAATTATTTTAAATTGTTTTTAAATTTTGTATGTATTGTTTTTTTTATTCTGGCTGTTCACCGCCCTGAGTCCTATTCTGGAGAACGGCGGTATAGAAATTTAAATAATAAATAAATAAACTGCACAAATATCCATTCGGTTTTCTAAAGAGTGTTACAGAAATGATTTGCCATTGTCTTGTTCTTTAAGTCAATCTCCTGTTCTCTCTGACAGCCCCTTAAAAAACTCCCAAAGTAATAACAATTTCATTTTCTCCTTTCCATTTTTGAATGTAAATGTTTAAGAGCCTTGCTTAATTTCTCCAATAAAATGAATGAATGTGAAATTTCAGAGGCTGCAAAAAGTTGAATAAACTATCACAAAGTATTTTAGTTTAAGCTCAGCTGTATGTTCTGCACCTTTTTAAACAAGCTTATTTTCCCTTAGCCCTTCATAAAACCGTATAAAAAAATTGTTGCGGAATCCTAGGGTTTGAAAAAAATCTTTAAAATAGGAGATGAAAATCTCTATTTGCATTAATGTAGCTTTTAGGGGCCACTTGTTTATATTGCATATACCAAATGCACTATTTTTAAATTAACATTTGCTGATAAATGTGATTTATTATTTATTCTATTTATTTATTTTATAAATTGGTGATGTTGCTATGATGTGCACTAGATTAGAGCTGTGAAGATTAAAGCAAGTACATCAATATTATTAAATAAACGAAAGTTTAACAATGTGTTATCTTTAGCTCTGTTCTTTTTTAAAAGCATATTTTAAAAGCATGCACCAAGACAAATTCCTTGTGTGTCCAATCACACTTGGCCAATAAAGAATTCTATTCTGTTCTGTTCTGTTCTGTTCTATTCTATTCTATTCTATTCTATTCTATTCTATTCTATTCTATTATGCAATTAATTAACCCTTTTGTGATAATAGATTGTGATGTAACCTTTAACCCTGTTAAAAAGACATAACTGTGTTTGGTCCCTACTGCTTAATACTTTTCTATCATCCAAGAGAGAGAGAAAGAAAACCCACTCAAAATATGTGTTTTAAGTCAATATCAAATAAAACAACTTCAGGGAGATGTCCACAATTGTTCCAATGTATGCTGCAGGCTTAAACTTCCAATATCAGAAACTTTGTCCTGTTTCTTACTGTCAACCTGGAAAATGATGAGAAAGAACTGGGCACTGTGTAAAAAACACAAGAGCTTTTCTCATTGTTTTTAAAATTAGACTATGACTAATTTCTTCTTAGTAATTCTGTTCTTCCTGGTCCCCAAATGCCTCAAAGCTATTGAGCAAATTAACAGTGTATAAGAGTTAATTAAAGGTTACATTGATGTAACAAGCAATATGGGCGTTTCTCATTAATTCACACTGCCCCTGCCTGTTTAATATATTACGGCAGTTGGAATATGAGACTTGTTCAAAGGGATATGTACAACATATTTAGAGATAAAATACTTTCCTTAAAGAAACTTTTTACGCCCAATAAATTTTCCTGAATATGCACCGAAGGTTTCTTTAGCAAATACCCAAAATAAAAATGATACATAAATCTTTAATTATCCATTAATGTTTATCTAGGAATTGTAAGTGCCTCTAGAGTTAACATTATTTGAAGAAAAAGTTTGCCTTCCTATTAGGCAAATGGCATATATTTTGGAGCTATAATACCAACTCTTTTTGAAATCCTTTAAACAATCACACCGAATTCAAGGGAGACAGAAAGACAGTCCTTTTTGATCTATATTTGACGAAGAAAAGAAACTAGAGAAGCAATTTTTCTGAAACATATTGAACATTATTAAGCGCCCTGGTGGCGCAGCAGACTAAAGCACTGTTATTAACATCAGCTGCCTGCAATTACTGCAAGTTCAAATCTCACCAGGCTCAAGGTTGACTCAGCCTTCCATCCTTTCTAAGGTAGGTAAAATGAGGACCCGGATTGTGGGGGCAATAAGCTGACCTTGTATAAATATACAAAAGTAGGAAGGCTATTGCTTAACGCATTGTAAGCCGCCCTGAGTCTCTGGAGAAGGGCGGCATATAAATCAAATTTTAAAAAAAACCAAAAAAAAACCCTTTGTAATAGCACTTGAAATCCCTTTACAGGTAGTCCTCGACTTAGGACCACAACTGAACCCATGTAGCTAAGTGAGAAATTTGTCAAGTGAGTTTTGCCCCATTTTGCGACCTTTCTTGCCACCGTTGTTAGGTCAGTCATTGCAGTTGTTAAATTAGTAACACGGTTACTAAGTGAATCTGGCTTCCCCGTTGACTTTGCTTCTAAGGAGGTCGCAAAAGGGAATCACATGAGCTCGAGACACTGCAACTGTCATAAATATGAACCAGTTGCCAAGCATCCAAATGTAAATCATATGACCATGGGGATGCTGCAACGGTCATAAGTGTGAAAAATGGTCATAAATCACTTTTTTCAATGTTGTTGTAACTTCGAACGGTCACTGAATGAACTGTTGTAAGTCAAGGACTACCTGTATTATTTTTTTTAATGTTATCAAAAATTAGCATGTGCCTCCCATCAAACCCTAATGGATTTGTTATTTTTATAATTCCAGAAATGCTCCGATTTTTGACTACATTGATTTTTCTTCCTGTACACCAATCCATCATAAAAATGAACAAATACAGCTAAAAACAAAGATACACCAAATCATTTGTTAGGGAGAAGCAATTCTGATCTATGCATTTCAATTGTGAATACATGAAATAAATCATTGGAGCATAAGAGTGAATAGAAACATGGAACCAAAGCTAGTGAACAAGGAGCATAAAATGAGCAAAGTACAACATTGCAGGTGTGAATATACCTTTTGTTGTTGTTGTTGTTGTTGTTGAGGAAGGAAATTCACAAGTGCTGATTATGAATGAATGCTGATGTGATTTCAATAAAAATAGGGAGGGAAATAAACGGGGAGGAAGTTATTTTGTGAATGCTTATACTGTGTTCGGATATTTTTCAATGAGAACAGCAAAATTAAGCCCGTTGCATCATTTTCCAGATCTAGTTCTACCCCGATGAGGATTTTAAAAATCCAGCTTTTCCCATCCCATCCCTTTGACAATTCACGGAGAAGTCTGACATTCTTAACCCAAAAAACCTTCTGCAGATTTTCCTGTTGCAAAATCATTAAGCGAAATGAGATGCGTGTGTTTGCCAAGAACTAAACGAGTCTTAACATAATTATCCGATGCTGCTTGATCTCACTTCATCTTTTAATTAAGCTGATGCTGCAGTCCTTTTTCCCCCCATTATAATACAGAAGGAACAGAACCTGTCAGATAAGTGGACAGGTGGAGGAGCCCTTGACTTAAAACCATTTGTTTAGCGACTGTTCAAAGTTACAACGGCAATTGAAAAACTGATTTATGACCATGACAGCATGCCCTTGGTCACATTTATTTATTTATTTAATCAAATTTATATGCCGCCCTTCTCCCGAAGGACTCAGGGGCGGCTCACAAAAATAAAAAGCATTGCACAATAAAATAATAAATTAATTTTAGTTAATTAAAATACTCCAATTAAAACCCTTAGAAAAACTAAAAAACTCCCAGCAGATCAGCCACCTGCAGTGGCCTAGGTCATGTGATTGTTTGTGACCAGCCGGCTTCCGACAAGCAAAGTCAGTGGGGGAAGCTGGATTTGCTTAACGACCTCATAATTCACTTAACAACTGTAGTGATTTGCTTTACAACTGTGGCAAAAACGGTTGTAAAATCAGACACGGCTCAATAGCCACTTTGCTTAGTGGGAATTGTAGTTCCAATTATGGTCGTAATTCGAGGACTACCTATATAGGGGCACAACATAAGAGCTGTTATTTTCTTCTGCTATATTTATTTATTTATTTATTTATTTATTTATTTATTTAATGTATTTATATGCCGCCCTTCTCCAGAAGGACTCAGGGCGGCGAACACAATTTAAAAACATGTACAACAAAATCCCATTTTAAACCAAATTAACTAATAAATAATAAAACCCAGAATCAGAGTCAGCCTATTTGCTTGAACAGCCAAGTCTTCAGGTCCCAACGGAAGAAGCGGAGATCAGGAGCCAATATTGTTGTCTTAACTTTTGTAATGGGGTCTATCTAATTTTTCACAAGGATGAATTACTGTTTTTCATCACGTGTGCTTTAAGGACTTGTATGTTATTACATGTGACATCTATGATAACTTTAAACTTGTCTTATCAGCTATGTTGATTTGAGTCCTTTTACAATTTGGGTGGATGGTGGCTGCTGTCCCTGTGACATTACTTCATTTTCTAATTTTTTAAATCCTTTTGTGCCAAGGTGGCTCAGTGGCTAAGATGCTGAGCTTGTCGATCGAAAGGTCGGCAGTTCAGTGGTTCGAATCCCTAGTGCCGCGTAACGGGGTGAGCTCCCGTTACTTGTCCCAGCTTCTGCCAACCTAGCAGTTCGAAAGCACGTAGAAAAATGCAAATAGAAAAAATAGAGACCACCTTTGGTGGGAAGGGAACAGCGTTCCGTGCGCCTTTGGCGTTGAGTCATGCCGGCCACATGACTACGGAGATGTCTTCGGACAGTGCTGGCTCTTCGGCTTTGAAACAGAGATGAGCACCGCTCCCTAGAGTCTGGAACGACTAGCACAGATGTACGAGGGGAACCTTTACCTTTACATCAAATTGCCCTTCCTCCTCTCTTCCTAGAAATCAATCGTGAAATATTTCACCTGACATAAATCTGCCCTTCTTAAGAAACCATTTTGGCAATTAACTGTCTACAGTATTTGCTTTGCAACATGTAATAGATTTTTATTCTGCTGGTAAGAACATATTCCTGAATTAGTGTTATTTTCCTATTTTGGCTATATTTAGATTTTTAGACCTAGGCATTCTTGTTTATGGAATTATATAATATCAAAAGTATTACACTGTAAGCTGCCCAGAGTTGTGCTGAACTGGGAGATGGGCAGCATATAATAATAAAGAAATAAAAATGTAGTATTGGTAATATCAAGACTTCATTGTACCATTGAAGAACAAATATATAGAGCCTTGATAGTACAGTGGTTTAGTGCATCCTGTTATTAACACAGCTGCCTGCAATTTACTGCTGGTTTGAATCTCTCCAAGGCTCAAGGTTGACTCAGCCTTCCATCCTTTCTAAGGTAGGTGAAATGAGGACCCAGTTTGTGGGGGCAATAAGCTGACTTTGTATAAAATATACAAAAGAATGAAGGCTATTGCCTGAGTCTCCGGAGAAGGGCGGCATATAAATCAAATTTTAAAAAAAATAAAATAGTCAAATCATGTTTATCTGTGTGATTGCTTAAACACAGCACTTTACTCTGCTTTCAGCCTTAAACATTTCATATGTAAACATTACATATTGTTATCTGATTTTTAAAGATGTTTGAGTACTTTAGGTTCAAACAAAATTGCTGCTTGAATATTCAACCTTTTTTTTTTTTTTTTTTCTTTAATAGTGTTTATTTTCTCTCCATTTGTAATTAAACTTTTTTAGTTTAAAGCGTAGAGAATTACACTTTTTTGAGCCTGCTAGAAAGCATGGGGGGTGGGGGTGGGGGGAGAATGCTTGATCCAATTTCAGGATTTAGCAGCAGCTTCTAAAATACTTTATTCCCTCTCTCCATTCTAGGTTGCTACTCTCAACCCAAACATGTGGCCTGAAAGGATAACGTGTCTCGTTCTTGATGTAAGCACCGTCATGCGGGTAGAATAACTCCAAGGCAATTGCATTTTGCAAAAAAGAAAATGCCAAAGAAAAAGAAAAATCTCGGCGTGAGCCCATCGAGAAAAAATACAAACCCAGAGACGGTGTCTGCTACCAACGCCTCGTCCTCACCAGCTTCGTTACATGGGATCAATAAAGAAAAACTCATCAGCGGACTTTCCGAAATGTTCTCGGACCTGGATCCGACTGTCATCTACATGGTGCTGTCTGAATGTGATTTCAAAGGTAACGTCTGTCTGTTTTTGTCCTTTTCCTACAGCAAAAGCCGGCTTAAAAGCGAGCTTATTTCCCTCCCTCCCGCTCACTTTATAAATGGGCTAAAAAAAAAAGGGATGCTGACATTTGTGCTTGTTGTAGGGATCAATTCCAGCCCCAGGAAATACAGGTAGTCCTCGGCTTCGCGACCACAATTGACCCTGAAATTTATGTTGCTAAGTGAGAATTTCTTCCGTGAGCTTTGCCCCATTTCCTGCCGCCGTTGTTAAGCGAATCACTGCGGTTGATAAGTTAGTAACCCAGTTGTTAAGCGAATCTGGCTTCTCCATTGACTTTGCTTGTCCGAAGGTCGCAAAAGGGGATCACATAACCCCGGGCACAGTGCAACCGTCATAAGTATGAACCGGTAACCAAGCTCCTAAATTTTGATCGCACGATCGTGGGGATACTGCAAAGGTTGTAACTGTGAAAAAGAGTCGTAAGTCACTTTTTTCACTGCTGTTGTAACTTTGAACGGTCATTAAATGAACTGTTGTAAGTCGAGGACTACCTGTATTCCACCGAGTCACTGGGACCTTCTTCGACCCACAGATCTCTGAGGATATTTTTGCATTTTTCAGTTGATTTGCCTTTTGCCTTCTGCTTTTGAACTTTTAGCCAAGCCAATGCATTATCCAAGGAGATCTCAGGAACTTGTTGATGGAGAAAGGGAGTTTAGCCTCCAACAGGTAGTCCTCGGCTTACAACCACAGTAGACCCCAAAATTTCTCTTGTTAAGTGAGACATTTGTTAAACAAGTCTCTCCCCCCCCCCTTTTATGACCTTCCTTGCCGCATTTGCCAAACGAATCAGTGAAGTTGTTATATGAATAGTACGGTGGTTTAAGTGAATCTGGCTTTCCCATTGTTTTTGCTCGTCAGAAGGTCACAAAGGGGAAAACACATGACCCCGGGGTCGCTGCAACCGTCATAAATATGAGTCAGTTGCCAAACGCCTGAATTTGGATCACGTGACCAGGGGGATGCTGCAACGGTCCTAAGTGTGAAAAATGGTCACGAGTCACTTTTTTTCAGTGCCGTCGGTAACTTTGAACGGTCACTGAACAAACCGTTGTAAGTCGAGGATTACCTGTATTTATTTATTTAGCATATGACATACATATATGCCTTTAGCTCTAAGAGAGTGGGTGGTGGAGTTGAACCGATCCTATTTCTTTGCAGTTATCTTGTTGTTAGCCCTTTCCCTGAGAACTCTTTGTTTCTTTGTGCCCAATTGCTTGTGGAATATTTTTGAATCTGTTGCAAGGGTTCCTTGTAGATTAGAGATTGGGGGTGTCTTATCCCTCCCCCTCTGTTAAGAGGGGGCTGCTCAGTGTTAACATAAATGGCCTCTTTTACCCCTCTTTCAAACCCGTGCTCCTCCCTATCTATTGCTGTCTTCGGAAGAGTGACCTTTGTCTTTCAAATGCAACTGGACCATTGAATCTTGTCCTGATGGCTTTGATCTCCCACGTTGTGCCATGCGCTTGGGAAGTGGTGGTTTTGTTTCCCCAGCGTACAGGATCTGCACGTGTCTCATTGCATTGTACTGCATATACCACATTGCTGAGTTTGTATCAGGGTGTTGTATCCTTGGGGTGGACAAGCTTCAGCCTTAGTGTGTATTCTTGGGTTTAAAGTGTGTATGTATGTTGTGTTGGTTAAAAATCCTCCGGAGATTTTTAGATATTCCTGCAACGTATGGAATGACAACGTTGCTTCGTTTGTTGTTCTCCTCTTTCTTTGTCTGTTATGGAGAAGGGTCTTTCTCTCTCCTTTGTTGTCCAATATTTTCCCTATTGGTATCCGAGCAGCCCTGCTTTTCTATTAATATATGCTTTCTTTTCAATTTCTTTTCTATTTTACCAATTACACATATATCATCATGATTGTACATTTATGTAGTAACATTTTTTCCTTTCCCCCCCACCCTTGTCCATTTACACAAGTGTCATCTGAGTTTCTATTTCTTTTTGTCTTCTCTCTCATTTACCTTTACATTGTCTAATTTATTCATCTGTCATCTTTTATTCATATTTCTTTTCTAACCATACATAAAATCGTCCCTCTGTCTTGAAATACACCGATTCCTCTTTATCTTTTATTCTTAATGTTAATCTGTTCATTTCTGTGCAATCTAAAATCTTATTTATTACTTCACCTTCTGATGGGATTTTTTCTACCTTCCAATTTTGTGCAAATACAATTCTTGCTGCTGTTATTATGTGTATAATTAAATACGTATCTTCTTTACTATATCTCTCTGGTAAAATACCCAATAGAAAAATCTCGGGTTTTAATTCTATACGCTGGTGTAACATTACTCCTAACCATGTCTGTATTATAATCCAATAATTTTTTGCTTCTATAAATGACCACCACATATGATAATATGCTCCCAAGTTGCAATTTTCTTTTCAAATTGCACCTAACAAATGGTTTTGTGCCCATAACTCAAAATTCATGTTTAAATGTAGACGCAATATTTAGATCAAGCATTATTTTTTTAAAAAAATTGCTTGCTTGCAGTTCTCCCTGTTAGTTCAAGGCACTGCTCTTTGGCCCCTAGGGAGCTGCATCTGTGAAGAGCATCCTTTAATCAGTCTTTTTTTGAAGAGAAGGCAAAGGTGGCTGCAAGACGGATGGAGACTCAGGTAATCTTTAAAATGAAAATTCACTGCCTCATATATTTCTGTGGTGCTACTGAAGTTGGTGTGCGGAATACGGGGAATAAGTTTAGTAAAGTAATTGTGTCCTTTCTTTGTTTTTACTAGTGGAAGAGACTATGGATTATCTACTGGAATTGTCCACAGCGGCCAAGGATACAATATGTTCATCGAAAGTCTCAGGTTTTGATTCCCTGTCCGCATTGCTAGTTGGTGAAAATAACTCAAGCTGTAGTACTCGCGAACTTGAGGGCAACGATGCTACCGCAGTTGTGAAGTGTGGCAAAGAATCACAGCCGTCCTTGTCATCCGAAGAACTGGCACTCTTGATAGAGAATTCTCTTGAGGAATGCAGTCGAAAAAGTGAAGCAAAGGAATCAGAAAACGATCAGCTCTCAGGTAGCCTGACACTGGCTCCGGACCACACTGATTCCAATTGCATTGAATTATGTCTAAAATCCAATGGAACAGCAATAGAAAACTGGTTCACCACCCTGAAACCAAGTTATAATGAAGCAGCGGAGTCAACATCCATATCGGAGTTTGAGACAAAGGATATTTTGACACCAAACCCAGAGAATTACAGTTTGCCAGAAGTGGTCCTCGACAGTGGTGCCGTTTCGGAAATTGTGACATTCGCCGACAAGGCAGAGGCTTACACTGAGCCAAATCAAATGCACAATGTTTTATTTGACTTTACAGCGGTCAGCACCCTGACCACTCAACGCCATCAGGTTTTTGCCAAAATAGAGACAAATGCTTTTCCTAGTCCTCATGCTTCTTCGCAGGCGGCTGAAGAGCAAGAAAACGTAGTGACTCTCTATAATAACCTGAAACAATTTTGCGTTCCTGACCTGTGCGCAGGATCCGGTTTGAAATCGGCACCTTTGACGAAGGAGACCGATCCTTCTCGGCGAACGTGGAGTTCACCGTTTTCTCTGTTTCAGAAATATCCCCAGGAGCTCAATTTTTATCCAGCTTTCGAATCCCAATGTAGAAATCATAGCTTTGTGACTCCCATCGCAATTAGTCCTGGGAAATGGAGACCGGCTTCAGATTGTAAGAGTCAAGGAAAGACATTTTGCTCTCCGGAAGTTGCAAAATCCTGGGAGAGCCTCTCTCCTGTGCCAAAGAGATGTGGGAATAAAAACGGGCGACAAAGACATCATTTTCCTCAAGTCCAACAACTGCCTGGTGGTCACATAATGAACAGGAAGACCTTCGCCGGTTACGTTCTGGTTCTCCTCCGAGGGCTTCCAGGATCGGGCAAATCCTATTTGGCAAGGTAGGTTCGACGTACAAAAGATTCAGAAATGGGACGTTGCTCTCTTTTTCTTGCTCACACACAGGTGCATCATTACATTCTGTCAGTGAGCCAGATTCCCTTCCGACCGTATGCAGGTAGTCCTGAAAAAGTAGTGACTTCATGACCATTTTTCGCACGACCGTTGCAGTCTCTCCGTGGTCATGTGATCAAGAGCCGTGATGGGTGCAGTGGTTAGAATACAATATTGCAGGCTGATTCTGCCCACCGCCAGCAGTTCGATCCTGGTTGACTCAGCCTTCCATCCTTCTGAGGTCGGTAAAATGAGGACTCAGATTGTTGGGGGCAAGAGGCTGTAAACCTCATAGAGAGGACTGTAAACACTGAAGCAGTATATAAGTCTAAGTGCTATTGCCCTTCCTTCCTTCCTTCCCTTCCTCCCTCCCTCCCTCCCTCCTCATTTCTCCTCCATTCCCCTTCCTTCCTCCCTCCCTCCCTCCCAGTGGTTAGAATGTAATATTGCAGGCTAATTCTGCTAACTGCCAGCAGTTCGATCCTGACCGGCTCAAGGTTGACTCAGCCTTCCATCCTTCTGAGGTCGGTAAAATGAGGACCCAGATTGTTGGGGGCAAGAGGCTGTAAACCTCATAGAAAGGACTGTAAACACTGAAGCAGTATATAAGTCTAAGTGCTATTGCCCTTCCTTCCTTCCTTCCTTCCTTCCTTCCTTCCCTCTCTCCCTCCTCATTTCTCCTCCATTCCCCTTCCTTCCTTCCTTCCTTCTCTTTTCTCCTCCACTCCCCTTCCTTCCTCCCTCCCTCCCTCCCTCCCAGTGGTTAGAATGTAATATTGCAGGCTAATTCTGCCGACTGCCAGCAGTTTGATCCTGACCGGCTCAAGGTTGACTCAGCTTTCCATCCTTCCGAGGTCAGTAAAATGAGGGCCCAGATTGCTGGGAGCAAGAGGCTGACTCTATAAGCCGCTTAGAGAGAGCTGTAAAATGCTGTGAAGCGGCATATAAGTCTAAGCTCTATGGCTATCAAAATCTGGATACTTGGCAACTGACTTGTACTTACGACGGTTGCAGGGTCATAGGGTCATGTGATCCCCTTTTGCGACCTTTTGACAAGCAAAGTCAATGGGGAAGCCAGATCCGCTTAACAACCCCGTTAATAAGTTAACAACTACAAAGATTCACTTAACAACTGTAACAAGAAAGTTTTTATGAGTTTTGCCTCACAAAACTCACTTAAGAAATGTCTCACTTCGCAACAGAAATGTTGGGCCCAAGTGTGGTCTCAAGTCAAGAACTACCTGCATTGCAGACCAACTCATAGCTCTTATCTATTCCTTTACTCGATGTAGAAGCTAGGGCTCCCCTTCAGCTCATGATTAACTCTCAAAACAAGAAGCGTGGGCTGTTAACGCAAAGCGTTGAATTTTAAAATTATTGCTGGATTTCCTGGCCATCTTTTGCAAGTCTGTGACGTGATGACAGCAAGGCGTGACCCCCTGAGTTGTTCGTAGGGTATCTGCAGCACCAGAGTGGATGGAGGAACCCCTAGTCGTAACTGGGCTCCTTTCAGGCAGGTTTCAGGCCTGGATAGTGAGGGGGAGAGGCACAATATTTGATTTACCGTATTTTTCGGAGTATAAGACACACCTTTTTCCCCCCTAAAAGAGGCTGAAAATTTGGGTGCGTCTTATACTCTGAATTTAGCTTTTTTGAAGCTTTTTTTCAGCCCTAACGACATGCTAACAAGGCGCTAGGGAGTGAAGCAATTTCCCAGCTTTGCCTGCTCCCGCTAGCCATGCTTTGCTCCGACTCTCAGCTGTTCTTTAGAAGCTTTTTTTTTCAGCCCTAACTAGGCGCTAGCCGAGTGAAAAGCTTTGCCTGCTTTTCTCATTGCTGCTTCCTCTCAGCTGTGCCTTAGAAGCTGTTTTTTTTTTATCCCCAAGCAGGGGAATAAAAAACCAGCAAACTAATGTACTGAAGCTGACCAGACTAAGGACGCTAGCCAGATGAATACCTGGTAGGCAGATTTTTTTTTTTCCCTATTTTCCTCCCCAAAAACTAAGCTGCGTCTTATACTCCGAAAAATACGGTATGTCTTTAGTCCAGGACCGATCCCAGTCGATGCAGGTAAGGAGCAGTTGGTTCAGCCCATGGCCCCTCTTTGTAGGGGTGCTGTGTGGCTGTCCTCGCTCCTTATTAGCATTTACACAAAGCTGCTGGCTGCAATCATCCGTCATGAGGTATCCTCAATATGCTCCTGATATTCAGATGCATATCTCTGGGTATTGCATTAACAGAAGGAATAGAATCAAGATCACGAGAAGTCTTAATACCACTTCATAATGTCTTGATAAGGCCACACTTAGAATACTGCATCCCGTTTTCGTCACCACGATGTAAAAAAAGATGTTGAGACTCTACAAAGAGTGCAGAGAAGAGCAACAAAGATGATTAGGGGTCTGGAGGCTAAAACGTATGAAGAACGATTATAGGAACTGGGTACGTCTAGTTTGATGAAAACTAGAAAAACATCTACTTCTGCTTCATTGACTATGCTAAAGCCTTTGATTGTGTGGATCACAACAAATTGTGGCAAGTTCTTAAAGAGATGGGAGTACCAGACCATCTTATTTGTCTCTTGAGAGACCTATATGCGGATCAAGAAGCAAGAGTGAAAACTGGACACGGAACCACTGATTGGTTCAAAATTGGGAAAGGAATCCAGCAAGGCTGTATACTGTCGCCCTGCCTATTTAACTTATATGCAGAGCACATCATGAGAAAATCGAGGCTAGATGAATCACAAATTGGAATTAAGATTGCTGGGAGAAATATCAACAACCTCAGACTGAGCCTGAGTGGCGTAGGAGGCTAATGCCTCCTACTAAGGCAGCATTTAACATCCAGCTGCCTGCAATTACTGCGAGTTCAATTCTCCCCAGGCTCAAGGTCGACTCGGCCTTCCATCCTTTCTAAGGTGGGTAAAATGAGGACCCGGTTTGTGGGGGCAATAAGCTGGCTTTGTATAAAAATATACAAAAGGATGAAGGCTATTGCTTAATGCATTGTAAGCCGCCCTGAGTCTCCGGAGAAGGGCGGCATATAAAAATAAATTAAAATAAAATAAAATAAATATGCGGATGATACCACTCTAATGGCAGAAAGTGAAGAGGAACTAAAGAGCCTCTTGATGCGGGTGAAGAAGGAGAGTGCAAAAGTTGGCTTGAAACTCAACATTAAGAAAACTAAGATCATGGCATCCGGCCCTCTCAATTCCTGGCAAATAGATGGGAAAGAAATGGAGGTAGTGTCAGATTTTATTTTCCTGGGCTTGAGGAAAGATCACTGCAGATGGGGACTACAGGCAAGAAATTAAAAGATGCTTGTGTTTTGTGTTTGTTATATTGTGTTGTGTAATAAATAAATAAATAAATAAATAAAAAGGTGCTGGCTCCTGGGGAGGAAAGCTATGGCAAATCTAGACAGCATGCTAAAAAGCAGAGACATCACCCTGCCAACTAAAGTGCGTATAGTCATGGATATGGTTTTCCGAGTTACAATGTCTGGCTGTGAAAGTTGGACCATAAGGAAGGCTGAGAAGGCCAAAGAATGGAGGCCTTTGAACTCTGGTGCTGGAGAAGACTCCTGCGAGTCCCTTGGACTGCAAGGCCATCCAACCGGTCAGTCCTAGAGGAGATCAACCCTGACTGCTCTTTAGAAGGCCAGATCCTGAAGAGGAAACTCAATTCCTTTGGCCACCTAATGAGAAGGAAGGACTTCCTGGAGAAGAGCCTAATGCTCAGAAAGACTGAGGGCAAAAGAAGAAGAGGACGGCAGAGAACGAGGTGGCTGGATGGAGTCATGGAAGCAGTTGGTGTGAGATTAAATGGACTCCAGAGGATGATAGAGGGCAGGAAGGCCTGGAGGAACGTGGTCCATGGGGTCACAATGGGTCGGACCTGACTTCACTACTAACAAAAACAACAATAAGTTTGATGAAAAGAAGGACTAGGGGTGACATGATAGCAGTCTTCCAATATCTCAAGGGTTGACACAATGAAGAGAGGGTCAACTTATTCTCCAAAGCATCTGAGGGGAGGACAAGAAGCAACGGGTGGAAACTAATCAAGGAGAGAAGCAACTTAGAACTAAGGAGAAATTTCCTGACAGTAAGAACAATTAATCAGTGGAGCAACTTGCCACCAGAAGTTGTGAATGCTCCAACACTGGAAGTTTTTAAAGAAGATGTTGGATAACCATTTGTCTGAAGTGCTGTAGGGTTTCCTGCCCAAGCAGGGAGTTGGACTAGAAGACCTCCAAGGTCCCTTCCAACTCTATTCTATTCCTTGATATTACTTTTTATGTTTTTATTGTAAACCGCTCACAATCACTTAGATGAGACAGGCAGTGTAGAAATGTAATAAATAAAATAAATTATAAATTACAGCCAATATAGTCCCAGTATATGACAGCCTGTAAACGTATCTTACTACATCAAAAGACTCTCACAGATTATTGTAGTTATTTTCTGAAAGATCTGAATAGTGAGTGTCACAAGGATGAACGATACCCAGGTTTATTTTCACCATGATTTGTAGAAGATCAGAAGAACGTGTTGGGGAAAAAAAAGATGAGAGCTGTGTTTATCATTTTTCACAGGGTTTTGCTTGAGGATAACCCTTGTGGGATCATTCTTAGCACAGATGACTATTTTTATCAAAAGAACGGGCAGTACCAGTTTGATGCTGACTGTTTAGCAGACGCGCACGAGTGGAATTGGAAACGTGGTAAGAATTCAATACAGCAGACGCTTCAATTGCTTTAGAATTTGCTTTAGAAGTGCAAATATGAATTTGATAAATAAGGTAAAATGAATACGTTTTGCTAGTCCTAGAGGGACATTTCTGTCGGGATTGATGCTGATTGTCTTTGAAGTAGGCGCATATTAAACATCTGCAAAATTAGACCGTTTTAGATAAAATACACATTTTCTGCCCTGTGCCCCCCTAATCAGTTGAAAAAACCCCTCCCCGATGAATCATATATGGAACTGAACTAACAAATATATTAAAGTAAGGAAAAACTGCCCCTTGAGGAGCATTTGGAAGTTTCAGTTGGTGCACAATATGGAGGTACAGACAATTATGAGTGCCAGTCATTCAGCACATGTGACACATGAGTTACATTGGTTAGCAGGATGTTTCCGGGTGGAATTCAAGCTACTGGTATTATGGTGGAGGGTGGGAAGAATGTTGGTTACTTACGGGACGTCTATGGAGATTCTCAGCCATCCAGGTCATGGTTGTCCCAAAGGTGCTTTTTTTCAGGAGGCAACTGGACTTTCCTGTTTTTTCTTTTTGAAGACATTTCGCTTCTCATCCAAGAAGCTTCTTCAGCTCTGACTTGATGGTGAATCCTTCCATTCTCCACCATCCAGTCAGAGCCGAAGAAGCTTCTTGGATGAGAAGTGAAACATCTTCAAAGAAAATACAGTTGCCTCTTGAAAAAAACACCTTTGGGACTTACTTATGGGACCATAAGGTGGTGTCTACTCATTCTGTTAGATATGACAAGAGGGTCCTGTCTGCAGGAGGGTGTCATCTAGCACTGACAATGTTACCTACCATTTTTCCATGAAAATAAGACCTAGCATGTTTTTGCACATGCGCCCAATATAAACCCTACCCCAACCACACACAAAATAAGCCCTACTTAAGTGCCTGTGCAGCCGGCTCCCCATTCCGTCTGGTTGCTCACGGTTCTAACACGAGGTGAGTCAAAAGGGGGGGGGTGGAGCTGCCCCATGCGTACAACGGCTTACCTCAGGGCCCCCGCAGCCAGGCCATGCACGCCACGACAACTGCCTCGCCGCAGCGGGAGCCCATGTGGCCGACGGTCCACTTCTGCTTGCTTGTGGCTACAATGGAGCAGGAGGCCCAGCAATATGCTGTTGCCGGCCACAAGGCAGGCAGGTGTCAGGGCATGGATGGTGTGATTGCAGGGGACCTTACATAAGTCTGTGTGGGGCGCAAGGGGCAGCTTAAAAAAAAATTAACCCCCCCCCTCCGAAAATAAGCCCTAGTGCTTATTTCAGAGCCTAATTTGGGAGAAACACAGGAGTTTAGTAAAGAAACATCTGTAAGAAAATCACCAAGCTCAGTGCAAGGAACTCTGCAGAGTGTTATCTGTTGGAATTCAGGAGTCTTTCTTTTTTTTTCCCCCATGGTACCAGCCTTCTGGAACATTATTCCACAGCCTACCCCAAATTTATTTATTTATTTATTAAATTTATTTATTAAATTAGACTTGCCTTAACCCTTCTGGTCTTTCACAAGGCACAAAAAAACCTGGCTTTGCCGTCAAGCATGACTTGTCTTGGCTGTGAGTCGTCTTGGCTGCTAATTTTGGGTCATTTTTGTTGGTGTCATATGTATAAGAGATAGGCAGCCCATAAATTTACGAAATAAATAAAAGAAGTGTTGCTTGAGGGAATCTAGAGTTTCTTTTTAAATGTCCTGGAGTTTTAGTTCAACATGTACAGTGTGTTATAGCCATGTGCATTATTGCACACATCATGAATTACGTTATATATTTGGGTTCTTTTTACCCCTTTTGCCTACATTTGAAATTACTGCGATTACTTTCAAAACCAGAGAAGTTGGAGAATTCCAAACAGATGATCTGAGAAGAACATCATACATCTTTTATTTTCTATTAAGTAATGGTAATAGAAACCGTTGGTTAGTTAACCATTAGGTGTTTTTTTTCTCTCTCAATTTATTTGTCAGCCAAAGAAGCCTTTGAGAAAAGGATCACTCCTATAATCATAGACAATACAAACACACAGGCTTGGGAAATGAAGCCTTACATTGCTTTGGTCAGTATTCCATATTTTTTTTAGTGTTATAATGTTGAATATTGTTTTATTTGTAGATAAATGGGTGGGTGGTATATAGCAGCGTGCTTCAGAGGGTGCGGTTTAAAAAAATCAAGATGGTGGCCATAATAGGGCCATCGGTGGTCTGCACAAATAATCTCTGCATTTAAAAAAAAAAATCAAATAGAGCTTTTATTGTGATTTTATGGCAGCCATTTTGAATTTTTTTTTAACTATATCCTGTAGGTGTACACCAATAATGTAATATTATGGAGTCCTTGGTGCTTTCTGAGCTTGGTGGTTTTCTGGCAGACATTTCATTACCAAACTAGGTAACATCATCAGTATTAGATGCTACACTAAAATACCTGTTACCAAATCCCACTCCCTTCTAGCACTGATGACGTTACTTAGCTGGGTCATGAAACGTCTGCAAGAAAATAACCAAGGTCAGAGAGCACCAAGGACCCTACGGTCATCATCCTAGTTCTACTATTACATTTCACAAACCTCACTCCCTTCTAGCATTGACGATGTTACCTAGTTTGGCAATATTTAGCTGTTCATTTGTTAGAAGATGAGATGAGATAAGCTTTATTGTCACTTTTTTTCTGTGAACACACTGGCACACATTAAAAAATAAAATTCTGATGCCTGCTTTCAAAAGTGTGTGTGTATACACATACCTTACACATGTACATACATATACATATGAGATATATACACAAACACACACACACACACATATATATACATATACATTATGTATGTATAATATATTAATCTTATACAGAGGTCCCCAAACTTGGTAACTTTAAGACTTGTGGACTTTAACTTCCCAGAATTCTTCAGCCAGACATGCTGCCTGGGGAATCCTGGGAGTTGAAGTCCCACAAGTCTCAAAGTTGCTAAGTTTGGCCATCCCTGATCTTATACATTAATATAAGCATATATATTAATCATGGTCCATATTGAATACATAGTGGGAAAAAGTCTTGAAAGTTAACAAAGTTGATACGACATAGTACAAAGCTATTACAAAATCAACTAGAATGGTGATTTTTATTTTATTTATTTATTTTACGTTTTTCTTCAGTCACAGCAACACAAATACAAAGTTGTATTTCGTGAACCGGATACATGGTGGAAGTTTAAACCAAAGGAATTGGAAAGGTAATAATAGCAACAGTAGTACTTCTGTAACAGCATTACATGCGTAACATCAATGAGAAATAAATAATAAACATATCTCAGTTAGGAATCAGTTCACTTGCTTGCAGAAAGCTTCTACCCAGCCTGCCTTCAAATTATCTATATTTCTGCAGCGCTATTCTTTTTTCTTTTTTCTTTTTTAGATTTTATTGGTGTTTATAAGATTTCATGGAATACTTAGGAATGGCAACTTTATTTTCTCAATATTTGTTTTTACCTCAGAAATACCACCTTCCTTTGAGTGAAGGCATTCATTTAAACCGTCAAGAGGATATAAATATTTTTAAGCTGACATTAACAAAATTTGAGGACAGCTAGTCTTCCTGTGGACTAATTGTTTCCTCACTGATATAAAACGTGATGATTTAGAGCCGTCCTTTTCTTTTCACCTTTAAAATAAGTCAATAAATAGGCTCCTTATGGTATATATATATATATATAAAAAAAGAATTATAATTCCCTGCAATCTTGGAAGGGCTTTCAAAGTAATCTACCTAAGTCTTTAAGGAAAAGTCCCTTGTTTAGACCAGAGTATGAGAAGAATTAGGTAATGTTCGCGAGCTGCAGATCGGCGTGAAACAGTACATTTTTAAATTTTTAATTCGTAGTTAATTTTTAAAGACTTTCTCTCAACTATGTTAAAGTTGCATGCAGCAATGCCTTGTTTTGTGGTGGTAGCCCTATCAAGTGTTTTGTTCTTTCCGATATTTAGGCGAAATGTTCACGGTGTATCTAAAGAAAAGATCAAAAGAATGTTGGAACGATATGAACATTGCCTGACTGCTAATTCAATTTTGAATTCTTCAATCTCAGATGGCAGGAGGACGCGTGAAATCTGTGGTGAAGTTCTTCATCGCGAGAAAAGGCAGGGGTAAACTGTCTACAGATGTTTTAAGCTTGCTGTTTAAAGTACGAAGCTTATTGTGGGGTCCTCTCGGACCTTGATAGTCTTCTTGAAGACATTTCATGATCCAACTGGGTCACATCAAGAGTGATAGAAGAAGAGAGTAGTATTTGGTACAGTTATCTAATGCAGCATCTAGCGTTCATGCTAGAACAGGGGTGTCAAACTTAAGGCCTGCAGGCCGGATGTGACGCACGGGGTGCTCAGATCTGATCCGCGGGGCTGCCCTGGAAACAGCAAAGGACCAGCCCGCGGTGCCTCTGCTAGTGAAAATGAAGCTAGGGAGGGCCGCATGTGGCCCTCCCAAGCTCCGTTTTCAACTGTGATGGCCTCCTGCAGCCCTCTGCCAGCAAAAACGGAGCTCGGGAGAGCCGCGCACTTGGGCCTCCACAGGCATCCCCATAATGAGTGACGTCTGAACTGGCCACGCCCATCCTGACCACACCCCTGCCCCCCAAGGTCAAACACAACCCTGATGCGGCCCTCAACGAAATTTGAGTTTGTCATCCCTGTGCTAGAATATCAGGCTGTGCGAGGACATCTGTGAGAGTTCCTTAGGCGGGGCATTCTCCGAACAGTTTCAATAAAACCAAGAAAAATAGAAAGGACATAATTTGCCTTGATATTTCGTGTTTCCTGGAGATTTGCCACTTTTCCGACAGCAAAACGGAGCTCAAGCTGGTTTGCTACACTAGCATGGTAGGAAACATATAGTATTCTGTGAAGATAAATGCAAAAGTTGTGGACCATCTCCGTACCCGGTGACAGATTTTAATAAGAAAATATATATATAGAATAGCATGCATAATGCTAATGTGAATTTCTTCATCTGTGTAGACCTCCCTATTTATTTCAGTAGATAATATAAAGATATGACTATTTCTACTGAAATAGTCATATCATTATATTGATACTTTGGGAGGTTTTTTTGTCCACCAGCTCAAAACAAATGCAGTATCTTCCATTTGGTTTTAGAGTCTTAATGAAATGTTAAGAGAAAAAACCAGCTATATCTCTCTCTCTCTCTTAGTATTAAGCAATTCCTTAAGCATCCAGTCTTCATTTCAACAAAAGTCCTCTTTTGTTCACGGAAAATAGTTTTGCATTTTGAGCAGCCAGTTCTTTAACACACTTTATCTTCTTCTTTCTGTCTACTTATGCCGTTTTAGGTAACGTCCTAAAATTGTTTTAGCAGAAGTAAACTTCAGCGATGTATGCATTAATATATGTATATATGTATATATTTGTCTTGTAGGAAAGAAGAACAGAAAGAACATTTTGCCTCCTCTTTGAAAAGCGTAGAATTAAATCCAGATGAAAAAGCTACTTTAGAAGAAGTTATGGCAGATGATCAGAGCCCTCAAAATGAAAACAGAAGAGCGGGACATGATTTACAAGAATCCACTTCTGAATGTAGAATAGATTGCTTGGACCCTGCTGCATTACCAGCAGGAATCAAAATGGAATCCATTCTTGAAACAGAGTTGAGACCAGTCTCGGATTCCAGTGAAAATACTCTGTCGTGCAATAACAGTGAGTTGAAACTTCAGATTGAAGCAACTGCGTGTCATGAAATAACGGAGCCAGAATTCACAGAAACACAAAATAAAGATGGAGATCTAAATTCTGGCAGCTCAGTAAAATCTGAAATGTTAAACTTTGTGGGAGACTGGCCAGTAGAACAAACTTTGGGTCAAAGGGTGAAAAGAATTAAAAGATTAGAAAAACGTGCCAGGAGGGACAAAGGAGATTTAAGTATGCCGACATCTACTCTTGATCCATTAAAAAATACAAGTGAAGATAAAACATCGGATTTGATAGACAGTCATCAGGACCTGCCACTTTCTGAAGAGAGGTGTGAAGACAAATGTGAAGAAAGCAACTGTAACTTTCCTTCTACGTCGATGCCTGAGATTAATGTGGAAGTCCATACGACAGAATTGCTCATGGTAGGAGACTGGCCGATTCAAACTTTACAGCAAAGACAACACAAAATGAAAAGGATAACCAAGCGAGACATTCGCGAGTCAGATGGATTAGGAAACGGTCAAGATGATGTCAGCATTGGTGATGGGACTGCAACGTCTCAGCTGAATGAAACATCTGCAGATGTTGAAGAGCAGGGTGCCTCTTCAAAGGAGAAACACTTTCAAGGGCCTGAAATCACACCTCCTGAACCTCTTAGTGAGAAAAAGCCAGTGCTGAATAAAAGAACACGGAAGCATCATAAATTAGCGTTGACATTTACCAACAATTCGGCCCTCAACAAACCAGGGGAACCCCTGTCTCTTTGCACTTGGACAGAAGAAAAACCCAACCAATGTGTGGTGTCCCAGGCTACCAAATCTTCACAGACCGAACCACGAGATTTTGCCCTTCTGTGGAGACTGGAGAGAGAGATTGTCTTTTCAGAAGATACAAAAGTACTGCACGGCAGACTTGACGGATTCGTACCCAAAAGGGTTGAAGCCATTCCAGATTGCCCGGAAAAAATACCCTACAAAGTAACCTACGAGAGAAGCACCTATGTAGAAGAAAGGGAGCTGGTGAGGGTCGATGAATCGGAGAACCTCAATATTTTGTGTAAACTCTTTGGGTCTCTTTCGTTCGATGCCATCAAAGATCTGTATGAACGATGTAACCGAGATATGGACTGGGCCACGGGACTCCTGTTAGACTCCGCCGAGAAGCTCTGCAAAGATGACGACGTCGTAGACCTGCAGGAAGCAGAGGTTCGGCTCCCTGACGTGTCTCTTCCTTCGAAGAGACACACCGCGCCTGAAGACAGATTTGCTGGTCCTGTGGCAGTCACTCAAGCGACTGCGATTTCTAGGATTATTCACAAATCCGAAATAACGAAAGTCCCCCTTGGTGATGACAGTGAAAACATTTCTGGCCATCCTGCAGGACACGGCATACATTCTTCTCCCGGAGAAAATGAAATTCATCAGTTACCTGCTGCAGGAGAACCCGTCGTAGACCCATCAGATCTGGAGGTAGGTCCTTTGGACGTGCAAACAACACAGAGAATTTCTAGAGCGCTATCAGAGAATGAGCTGCGAAAGACGTCCTCAGTTCATGAAATGGATGCCGCTGTTCCCGACGAAGGTGATGGCCGTTTGAAAGCCACCTGTGATGTGGGTGAGGATCAGCTTGGAGCAAACTTTCAGGAGGGTCCGTTTCCAGAGGAGAACTCAGATTTGAAGCTAACGGAAGCAACCGATTCGAGCAGTGCAGGAAGCCGCAAATTTGAGCCGTGCAGAAAAATGGATTGTAAGCCCGGCGTTGTGGTTCCGACACAAAGAGAAAAGAACATCCCCGATCAAGAAAACGGGACAATCAAGTTGCAGAACTTCGTATCTCACTCAAGGTCCGTGACCATCGATTGTCTCGAGCTGGTCTTAGCTCCAGAATTAGCCATGCAGTTAAGTGAAATATTTGGACCAGTTGGAGTTGATGCAGGTAAGAACATCAGTGACTATTTCACTTAAATAAAATAGTAAATTGATTCTGAACTGGGAACTGATGATTGTATATACCTAGCAGATCTTAACATTTAAAAGAACTGAAGAGGTTAAATAATAAAAGTTGGTATAGATTAGGCAATAATATATATGTATTCCAAGCCTTTAATTTGAATTAAGCCACTTTGGGTCATTGTCCATAGTTTATTTTTGGCCTGCTACATGGGTACATACCAAGATCCAGGTCTATAGAGCCTGCGTCCTGAGGACACTCTTGTACTGCAGTGAGTCTTGGACCCTCTACGCACGGCAGGAGAGAAAGTTGAACACCTTTCATATGCGCTGTCTCCGACGAATTCTTGGCATCACCTGGCAGGACAAAGTTCCAAATAGCGCAGTCTTGGAATGTGCTGGAATTTCTAGCATGCGTACACTATTGAAACAGCGACGTCTACGCTGGCTGGGGCATGTCGTGGGAATGGCTGATGGTCGGATTCCGAAAGATCTCCTGGATGGAGAATTAGTGCAGGGAAAGCGCCTCAGAGGGAGACCACAGCTGCGATATAAGGATACCTGCAAGAGGGACCTAAAGGCCCTGGGAATGGACATTAACAATTGGGAAACCTTGACCTCCGATCGTTCAGCTTGGAGGCCAAAGACTCAGCATGGCCTTCTCCAATTCGAAGAGACACTTGAGGCAAAGAGGCAGTCCCGGAACCAGCGAAATCTGGAGGCTGGGCAGGGGACGGAATGTATCTGCCCTCAGTGTGGAAGGGATGGCCACTCTCGAATCGGCCTTTTTAGTCACAATAGATGCTGTTTTAGGACCTCTTTCCAGAGCACGATACCAAAGTCTCTTGAGACTGAAGGATGCCACATGGGTTTGACATTTTTTTGTTCTGTGGCTAGCTAGCTGCTAATTTATGGGGAGACTGTAGTAAATCATTTTACTACAACTAATTACTCAGTTATAGTAAAAGCTTTAATGTTATTTTAGCTTATAATGGCAAAATCTGTTCCAATTACGGGCCCAGAATCTAGAGTGTATAGGTGATCTACTGCTACCCGAATATTTGTGACTTCATCTTTTATCACCTTAATCAACATTGCTACACAAGCTGCCAAGAGATTTCAGCAGAGAGAAATTTGAAAAAGAAGTAAATATGATTTTGGTTTCGGCTGACTGGCTAGGGAATTCTGGGACTTGAAGTCCACAGATCAGGTTGGACACCACCAGGTTATAACATTTCTATGCTTGCACATTACTTAGATGGCACAATTTCTTTTAAAAAAAAGCAATGAAAGCTCAATTGTGTCTTATAAAAAAAGCATTAACTAAATACCAGTACAACAGAATGAGATTCTCTTTAAATTTGTATGTGACTTTTTTCTCTCGTTTTTTTCCCCCTCCTTCCATAAGGATCACTAACTCCTGATGACTATGTGGTTCATATTGATCTGAATTTGGCCAGAGAAATTCATGACAAATGGAAAGCATCTATTATGGTTAGTCAGCTTAAATTAAATCTAAAGGTAAAGGTTCCCCTCGCACATATGTGCTACTTCTTCCTGACTCTAGGGGGCGGTGCTTATCTCCGTTTCAAAGCCGAAGAGCCAGCGCTGTCCGAACACGTCTCCGTGGATATGTGGCCAGCATGAATCAACGCTAAAGGCGCACGGAACATTGTTCCCTTCCCACCAAAGGTGGTCCCTATTTTTCTATTTGCATTTTTATGTGCTTTCGAATTGCTAGGTTGGCAGAAGTTGGGACAAGTAACAAGAGCTCACCCTGTTACGTGGCACTAGGGATTTGAACCATTGAACTGCCGACCTTTTGATTGACAAGCTCAGCGTCTTAGCCATTGAGCCACTGCGTCCCTAAAATTAAAATTAAATCTACAGATAGGTTTATTGTTGTTCATGACTGAAAATTACATGGCACGCATTATATTACAGATTTTTTTTTTTTTACTTGTTCTATAATTATTGACATTTTAATAATTTGTAGAACAATTATGTTGCAAACACATTTCTTTAAAAATATATACAGCTAGTTCTTGACTTACAGGCATAATGGAGCGCGGAATTTCCATTGTACTTGGTTTCTCCAGGCAAGGACTATAGGCAGGAAACATACAAGGAGAGCTATAGATCTCCCAGCTTCGATCTGTTGGTCATCCTTCTAAGTTACCGTATTTTTCAGAGTATAAGATGCACCTTTTTCTCTTTGTTATATTATATTATATTCTGTAATATAATGTGTGCCATGTAATATTCAGTCATGAACAACAATAAACGTATCTGTACATTTAATTTTAATTTTAGGGACGCGGTGGCTCAGTGGCTAAGACGCTGAGCTTGTCGATCGAAAGGTCGGCAGTTCAGTGGTTCGAATCCCTAGTGCAGTGTAACGGGGTGAGCTCCCGTGACTTGTCCCAGCTTCTGCCAACCTAGCAGTTCGAAAGCACGTAAAAAATGCAAGTAGAAAAATAGGGACCACCTTTGGTGGGAAGGTAACAGCATTCCATGCGCCTTTGGCATTGAGTCATGCTGGCCACATGACCACGGAGACCTCTTCGGGCAGCACTGGCTCTTCGGCTTTGAAACAGAGATGAGTACCGCCCCCTAGAGTCGGGAACGACTAGCACATATTTGCGAGGGAAACCTTTACCTAAGTATCCTGTTAGTACTTACGATGTACTAATATTATCAATGTTTTGATTTAGAAGAGGCGAGAAGAAGAATTGCACAAACTCCTTGAAGAAAGTAAGTACCATCTTCAATTATCACGGTTCTTCTGCTTGTAAAATCTACGATTGCAAAGCTCTTTCTTCCTTCTATGCCCATTCCCACTCTCGGCGTTTCTTAATGTGCGGACTTCAACTCCCATGGCTGATTGGGGAATTCTGGGAGTTAAAGTCCACACATCTAAAAAGTTGCTGTGGTTGTTGGGATGTAAGTAGGCTCAACTTACAAACAGCAACTGGTTTCAAGATTGCTTTTTTTTTTAGCAGAAATGTATCCCTTTTGTGACTTTGTTCTCTTTGTGTATAAGTCAGTGTGGTTTATAGCCGCCTATTTTTTTATGTTTGGCAATTTTTAAAAAGTGCAGCATCTCACCGGCCCGAGGTTGACTCAGCCTTCCATCTTTCCAAGCTCAGGTAAAATGAGGACCCAGATTGTTGGGGGACAATCTCATCAATGGTGATACACTAAATAGAACTAAGCAAGCAATTTATAAATAATAGCAACTATTTTAGCAAAGAACGCTAAAATAGAATTGATAGACATGATGTATTTTGGGGTGTAATATAATAAATGTATTTCCCTGATCACGTTCAAAGGGGCAACAGTCTGATTCTAATTCTGCATTTCATAATTTCAGTTGACCTTTAAGTACAGAAGAAAACCTTTGCATTTGGGTCCATCCCCTTATTTTCTTTAAGACCGTCTTTTTTTTAAAAAAAGAAATTATCGTATTTTTCAGAGTATGAGATGCTGCGGACTATAAGACGCACCTACCTTTTTTGGGGAGGAAAACAAGAAAAAGAAATCTGCCTCTGCCTCCCAGCAATTTTGCCTCGTTGCAGCAAACAGCAAATAACCTGCTTTACTTTCATTTTCGTTTTCAGCATAGCTTGATTAGCACAAGGGGGGGGGAAATGCTCCAGCAATTTACCTCCTTGCAGCAAGCAGCAGAGGCCCCCGTAAAACAGCTGAGAGTCAGGAGGCCGATCCAATCAACTTGTGCTAATTAGGCTGTGCTGAAGCTGAAAGGAGCTGTTTCTTCTTGCTGCTTGCTGCAAGGAGGTAAACTGCTGGGAGGCAGAGGCCAAAGGGTGGGGGCCAGTGGGTGGGTGGGGCTACATTCGGTATATAAGACACACCCAAATTTTCACCCCCTTTTAGGGGGGGGGGAAGGTGCATCTTATACTCCGAAAAATACGGTAAATAAAATGCCACTTCATCTTCCATTGTTATTTGTTCTAAAGATCCCTTGCTATTTGAGCGGCTGCACCCAGGCAAAGTGGATGACTTACTTTCCCAGTACGCTGCTGATTTTCAAGGGCAGGAAAGTTTACCTACAGCTGGGTCGGCTGAAGCCTCAGCAGCTTCCGATGTTTTCCCCTACATGGATCACTGGAATGTTCACACTCAGCGAGTATCGCTTCGGGAGATCATGTCGGAAGAAATTGCGCTGCAAGAAAGACTAACGGTGGTAGGGTATTGCTGCTGCCTCTGCTGGGTGTACTTCCTGGAAGTCTCATCCTGAGCTGGGTTGTGATCAGGGTTCCCAAGAACCCAGCTGCCAGTCTTCCAGTGCTTTGCAGCATTGTGCTCTCTGTTCTGGTCTTCCCAGTAGGATCCTGAGTCCCACCTTCCCACTCCATAAGCCTTAGAAGCATAAGCAGCTACAAGAGGACGCAGACGATCAAGAAATCTGTCCTTTCTGGATGTGCGTCATGGAATCAGATGCATGTATGTCGCATCTGACAGCACAGTGCACATGTCATCATTCGAACAAAATTCTGGATTATTAAATGTGTATTGCCAAATAGAAGGGACGCGGCGGCTCAGAGGTTAAGACGCTGAGCTTGTCGGTCGAAAGGTCGGCAGTTCGAATCCCTAGCGCCGCGTAACGGGGTGAGCTCCCGTGACTTGTCCCAGCTTCGGCCAACCTAGCAGTTCGAAAGCATGTAAAAAAATGCAGGTAGAAAAATAGGGATCACCTTTGGTGGGAAGGGAACAGCGTTCCGGGCGCCTTTGGCGTTGAGTCATGCCGGCCACATGACCACGGAGAAGTCTTCGGACAGCGCTGGCTCTTCGGCTTTGAAACGGAGATGAGCACTGCCCCCTAGAGTCGGGAACGGCTAGCACATTTGTGCGAGAGGAACCTTTACCTTTTTATTGCCAAATAGATCCCACTTTTCCCCCCAAGAATTCACAGTGGAAGTCATAACACTCCCCCTCTGTTTTTTCCTCAAAACAACCCTGTAGGGTTGGGATTGCATGGCATAAAGCACCTGAGAGTCCCTGTAGGCTCAGAGTGTTTTGAACCCAGGTCCCTAAAGCAGTTAAGGCAGCTCCTTAAATATTATATCATTCTACAGAGCAGTAGAACTACTGCATATACTCATGGATAAGCCAAGAATTTTAAATGCCTCAAAAGATTGGGTTCACCTATGTGTGGGTGGGCACTATATATGGCAATAGTTTTTAAAAGTACAGTAATAGATAGACATTAATTTACAACAAGTTCGTTTAGTGACCATTCAAAGTTATAATGGCACTGAAAAAAGTGACATAAGTATTTTTCACACGACCGTCGTAGCATCCACAGACACTGGGCAACTGACTCACATTTATGACGGTTGCAGTATCACCTTTTGCGACCTTCTGACAAGCAGAGTCAATGGGGGGGAAGCCAGATTCACTTAACAACTGTGTCACTATCTTAACGACGGCAGTGATTCACTGAACAACTGTGGCAAGAAAGGTTGTAAAATGGCATAAAATTCGCTTAGCAACGGAAATTTGGGGCTCAATTGTAGTCGCAAGCTGAGGACTACTTCTATATTGAAGGATAAGCCAAGAATTTTAGGTGCCAAAAAGGCAATCAAAAGATCGAGTTCATCTTATCTGTGGCTGGGCGTATGCCCCAGTATATATGATGATACTTTTTAAAAATACAGTACCCATATTTCCCATATGCATCTGGATAAGCCAACTCTCAAATTTTTAATCCAAAATACCATGAAAAATGCAATTTTCATCATCCTTTGTTTTAAAATTTATGGATTGGCTCATCTGCAGATAGGCTTACCTGCAAGTACACAGTAGTGGCCAAAATTGTGGAAACCTTTTGGGAAAAGTGTATTTTTGAGGTTTGATGGCTAAAGACACCACTTTTTTTTTTCTTCAAGATAATCCTACTCCACTGCTGGAATGGCCTGGGAATAGCCCAGACCTTCACCCAGTGGAAAATCTATGGAGCTGACTAAAGAAACTTGTGACCCAGCAATAAAACCCAGTTAATAGAAGCCATCCTTCAATCTTGGTTTCACATGATAACAGCTGCAGAACTCAAAGACTTGGTTCCCTCCATGGGAAGACATTGTAAGGCGGTAATTCATGCTAAAGGTTATCTAGCTAAGTATTCACTGACATGGGGATCATTTTTGTATATCTTGTTTTTTTCCCTATGTGTTTCATTTTTCTTCTTTATCCTGTAACTGCTATTCTAATAGTAAATCCTTCATAAAAGTTATTGCATTACGTTCTTGATTAAATTATCTTTCCATTGATATATAATGTTATGGTACTACTCCAAAAAAAAAAAGTGGTGCTATTAGCTAGCTATTAGAAAATATACTTTCTCCAAAAAGTTTCTACAATTTTGGCCACTACATATGGTAATAACTAATGCAAAAACACGAAAAATGGTGCCATGATTTAATATTTGCACTGTATCATTGTAGAAATATTTTAGCGGTATAACTGTTTTTTTTTTTTGTTGTTGTTTTTTGTGGGCTAGAAACCTTTCCCTTGCATTGCTAAAAAAGACTGTGCTGCGAAACTGAAGGAAAAACAACTTTTGGAGTTATTCCCGACCATTAACGCAAACTTTTTGATGGACATCTTCAAGGATTACAAGTGAGGCTTTCTTTCGTAATACAATGTGCATCAGTTACGTGAAAGTTATACTGCCTGAAGTGACTCCTTGTGGTGGTGTTGTTGTTTTTAATTTGTCAGTTATTCCTTGGAACCAACCGTCCAGTTTCTCAATAGCGTCCTAGAGGCAGATCCCATAAAAACCGTGATCGCTAAAGAGCCTGCTCAGAATGCCAGGCATTCTCCTAGCAACACTTCAAAGACCCGCGAGAAAAAGGTAAAGGCATGAGCGTTGCAAATCTGTTTTCTGAAAGGGGCTTTTATAAACACTTAAGTGAAGTGGGGGCCTTGATGCTCTCTTGAGGTTGGTTGGTTTTCTTGCAGACATTTCGTTAGGCAAGTAGGGGAACAAGACATACGTACCGTTCAAAAGAGAGAGTCAAAAAGATCACAACACCTCCTGACCAATCAACAGCCGGATAAGCAGAGATTAACATCGAGTGGTAAACAATACCCCAATCAAGGAACTACAAATTCAGTAAACAGTACCCTAATCAAAACACCACCAGGAACACTCCCGCAACATTGACAAGACAAGCCGCTTGTATAGAAACAGAGAGCAAAACCTGCTCCCTTCCAGCACTGATGATGTTACTTAATAGGGTCGTGAAATGTCCATGAGAAAACCTCCGATCTCATAGTGCACCAAGGACCCCACAGCAGTGGTGGGTTGCCCCCAGTTCGGACTGGTTCGCAAGAACCGGTAGTAAAACCGGCATGAGGCCCCGCCCACCGCCTCAGATGTCATCATCGGCGATCTGCGCATGCGCAGAAGCGATCCCGTTGCAAACTGGTAGTAAAGGTAAGAAGAACCCACCCCTGCCCCACAGCCTTTCTCTTCCACCACTTCCTCCTCCATATATTCCATTCTCTTCAAACACTGCTGATGTTCCCTAGTTGGGTCATGAAACTTCCCCAAGAAAACTCAGAGAGCTTGAAGGATTCCATAGTCGTCTTCTCCTTCTTCCTCTTTTCCCTCTTCTTCCTTCTCTTCCTCCTCCTCCTTTCCTTCTCCCCCTGCGCAAACCCTTTCTAACATTGATGATGTTACCTAATTGGGTCATGAAACGTCTGCAAGAAAACCACCAAGCTCAGAGAGCATCAAAGGCCCCACAGTTCCACCCTGAGCTACAAATAGATTGGGATCCTGCAACATTATCCTGGGACGCGTATACTTGTCTTTGTTCGTACAAATAGATTTGTACAAATACATTCTTCTATTGCAGGGGGTCAGCAACCTGCAGCTCTGGAGCTGCATGTGGCTCTTTCACCCCTCTGCTGCGGCTCCCTGTCACTCAAAATATGCGTCACAACCGCCAATGTGCGACAGCAGTCGGCACGCAATTTATTGAGCTTTTCAACCCCCGGCAGGCCAACCATGGATAAATCCAAGAAAAGAAAAGTTTCAGAAGAAAACAACATTTAATTCAACTACATAGGCTAATTTTGTGGCCGCTCAAGAAATAGGCACAGGAAGGGATTTGTGGCTCGCGGTGTTTTCTGTGGGAAATGGGTCCAAATGGCTCTTTGAGTGTTTTAAGGTTGCCGACCCCTGTCCTATTGGCACTAAGTGAAGCTCACTTTTTCACAGTACGGCTTTTTCTCGGTTCTCCTTGAGCTAAGCCAATGAGCTTTGCCTTGAATTGTGTCCATAAACACCTCACTTTTCAATCCCAGGCGAAGAAGACGAAAGAACTGGAAGACATTCTGAGCGAGAAGGGATTCCAAGACACTCAATATCCAGGCTACGAGGACTTCAGGGCCGAGGCGTTTCTTCACCAGCAGCAAAGGCAAGAATGCCTAAGGAAAGCCGGAGAAGCCTATCGCATGGGGATGAAGCCAGTAGCGGCGTTTTATGTACAACAGGTAAACTTTGTTTTAACCAGTGATGAAGCAGCATTTCAGCACAAAGACACCCGTTCCGGAAAGCCACAAACTGCATGGAACAAGAGGAAGCAGGACGTGGTTTCTCAGATGATATAATTCTGTTTTTTGTTTTAAAATGGAGAATGTCTTCCTCCCTTCATCGCCGTGATTTCCTGGAGGCAGGAATCGAGGATCAAATGAATACAGGCAGTCCTCTGCTTACAACCACAATTGAACCCAACATTTCTGTGGCTAGATGAGACATTGTGGTTAAGCGAGCTTTGCCCCATTTTATGACTTTTCTTGCCACGGCTGTTAAGTGAATCCCTGCAGTTGTTAAGTTAGTAACACGATTGTTAAATGAATCTGGCTTCCCCTGTTGACTTTGCTTGTCAGGAGGTCGCAAAAGAAGATTGCATGGTCCCAGGGACGCTGCAACCGTCATAAATGTGAGTCACTTGCTGAGCATCCGAATTTGGATCACGTGACCATGGGGGATGCAGCAACGGTTGTAAGTGTGAAAAATGGTCAAAGGTCACTTTTTTTCAGTCACTAAAGGAATGGTGGTAAGTCGACAACTACCTGTAATCCTGACTCGCTTAAGAAATCTTGCAAGAAAAATCACGGGGGCAAAGTTCACTTAACAAATTTCTCACTTTGCAACTGAAATTTAGGGCCTCAGTTGTGGCCCCTAAGTTGAGAACTACCCATATTTGTGATCAGTTGCTTTTTGTAGTCAGTCACGGATAAATACTCTGTAATAGTGGTGAAATCCTACTGGTTCGCACCGGTTCGGGAGAACCGGTAGTGATAAAATCTACCGGTTCAATGAACTGGTAGTTTAAAAAAAAAAAAAAAAAAAGCTACCGATTGGTCCGAAACGGTATTTCCAATGATCAGCTGTGCCGGGTGATTTATATTCGCTAGAAAGCAGGAAATCCTGCTTTCTAGTGAATCTAAATCACGCGGCACAGCTGTCCCCCCATTCGCTGTTCTACTTACCTTCAAATGGCTCCTTTTTCCACGCAAAGCGCATGTTTGGTGCGCATTACGCATGCATGTATGCAGCATGCGTTTTGAGGACAGTATGCATTCACGCACGCAGTGTGGGTCTGGCACACACCGCGCATGCAACGAGCCAGTGGCGACCCGCGGAGGATTTCACCACTGCCCTATAATGTTTTTAATTCCCTCTATTTTTCATTCATTCCTTCTTCCTGTTCCTGCTTCATACCTATGTTCAGTTGAACTGCAGCTACCCGAAACAGATGTAAGTGACCAGTGCGGTCAAAAGACTCAACTCCTTGTTGTGAGACGCTGAGAAGGGTTCAGGTCTTTGCTCGTGGTGGCACGGTGCTCCCTGTGGCCACTATCGCACCTTAAGTTGCTGTTGTGTGTGTTTGCCTGAAGGGTCAGCTTCATGAACAGAAGATGAAAGAAGCCAATCAAGATGCAGCTCAGCAAATCTTTGAGAAAGTCAACGCTTCAAAGCTGCCTATCAACCTTTTGGACCTGCATGGACTTCACGTGGATGAAGCTTTGGGCCACCTCTCTAGAGTCCTGCAAGAGAAAACCAAAGGTAAGAGTCATCTTTGGATGTAAATGTCAGTGTCAACTTGCAAAGCTTTCAAATTGCCATGAGCAGGAGGGAGGGAGAACTGATAGAGCTGATTGATTTCCCTAACTGAAGCTACATTCCATACATTCTTCCTGACCGCAATCAGAAGGAGGGTGTTGGATTTCACAGCCAGCCAAAGTGGTTAATTGGAGAATGTGATTTATGACATGGCCGGAGAGGAGGGGAGAGACATAGGGGATCATAGGGGAACGTAAATCTACGTGGGATTAGTTCTAACTGCATCCGAATATTGCCGAAATGGTGCTCCTAATAAATGACAGTATTTCTTTTGAAGTTCGGCTTGTGGCTCATGAATTAATTAATCGGAAACTTCACAGTCAGCTTTGGAAGCCATATTAGGCCGGAAGTTTCAATGCTGCCACCTTCTCATGTGTGGGAAAGTAGGGGGGGGGATTAAAGAGAGGGGTTGTTAGTAGACATAATAGCATTCTTCCTGCCGGTCAAGGTCAGGGCGATCCAGCATCTGGAGAAGGAGTTGTCAGGGGGCTGGATCGAGATGGAGCAGACGTTGATTGGAGCATGTGACTGACTGGGGGGAAAAGGGGATGGTTTTGGCAGCTTTGACTTAACTGAAGGAAAACCCGGGCTTTTCAGATTTGGGTTTTCCCAGATGTCCCAGTTTGCCTATTCTAGTAAAGAGAACTTTGGAGAAATGTTTGCTTCCGCGTCTTTACTTGGAGTTGCGGTTTTTCTGGAACGCTGACAGTAAACAGATCAATCCTTCCGGAGAACAAGCATGGAAATGAGGTCATTAAGTACCGTTGGAATTAATTGCGGTGCCACAATTGTGGTCTGGGGTGGGAAACATCTGGTTTTTCATTCTTGGCCTCTTGTTCAAAGGTTATTAAGGAGCTGAACTGAAGCAAGATTCTGATCAGAAACGGACTGGAAGCCGGTTTGTTGCCTACAGGTAGTCCTCGGCTTACGACCACAATGGAGCCCAAAATTTCTGTTGTTAAGTGAGACAGTTGTTAAGCGAGTTTTGCTCCATTTTACGACCTTTCTTGCCACAGCTGTTAAGTGAATCATTGCCGTTGATAAATTACTAGCCCGGTTGTTAAGCGAATCCGCCTTCCCCCATTGGCTTTGCTTGCCCGAAGGTCGCAAAAGGGGATCACGTGACCTTGGGACAAAGCAACGGTCATAACGTTGAACCAATTGCCAAGCATCCGGATTTTGACTGCATGACCGTGGGGCTGCTACAAAGATCGTAAATGTGAAAAAAAACGGTTGTGAGTCCCTTTTTTCAGTGCCGTCGTAACTTTGAACGGTCACTAAATGAACTGTTGTAAGTTGGGGACTACCCGTGCAGCCTTTTCATTTCACGCATCAGTCAGGGCTCTTTTCAACATTAGCGTGGTCGAAACTTGTGTTCGTTGGTTTAGGGCAGGGGTCAGCAACCTGTGGCTCTGGAGCCGCATGTGGCTCTTTCATCCCTCTGCTGCAGCTCCTTGTCACTCAAAATATGAGTCACAACCACCAATATGCGACACACGCCGCCACGTGATTTATTGAGCTTTTCGACTCCCGGTAGGCCAACCATGGATAAATCCAAGAAAAGAAAAATTTCAGAAGAAAACAGAACATTTCATTCAACTACATATATTAGTTTTGTGGCCGTTTTAGGAAATAGTCAGGCACGAGACAGTTTTTGTGGCTCCCGGTGTTTTCTTTTCTTTGGGAAACGGATCCAAATGGCTCTTTGACTGTTTAAGGTTGCTGACTCCTGGTTTAGGGTCTCCTGCTTGGGTGGGGCGGGGGGATTAGACTCAGGGGTGGGTTCTAAATTTTTTTACTACCGGTTCTGTGGGCATGGCTTGTTTTGTGGGTGTGGCTTGGAGGTCATGTGATTAGGTGGGCGTGGGTAACTGGTCAGAGTCATTTCTGGAAGGTCCTCGCACTTACGACCAGTCCTCGCACTTACGACCCGACTCATTTGTTTGATTTTAACACTGATCAGCTGTAGGGCGGCCCTTTGAAGCCCCACGGCAAGAGTTTAAACAGTTTTTTTCCCTCAAGTCATCAGCTGGGACTCAGGAGGCAGCAATAGATTGGGGGTGGGACCAAATTACGAGACCGCCTCCTGCCACCAATAGCCTCTCACCGACCAGTTCGCTCCCATAGAGAGGGACTCCTCAGGGTGCCGTCGGCCAAACAATGTCGACTGACGGCCCCCAGGGGGAGAGCCTTTTCTGTGGGGGCACCTACCATCTGGAACGGGCTTCCCCCGGAGTTACGAAACATCCAAGACTTACGCATATTCCGCCGTGCCCTGAAAACATTTCTATTCCAACAAGCTGGTCTGGCCTAACTCTCCCTTTTTAATTGGCTTTTAAACTGGCTTTTAAATTGGGTTTTAAATCTCTTTAGATAAATTTGGATGTTTTTAATCTTTGAGCCTAAATTACTTAATCTGTTTCTTAATAGTTTTTAACTTCTATATGTATTTGTATTTATTATGGCTGTTCACCGCCCTGAGTCCTTCGGGAGTAGGGCGGTATACAAATATGAAAAATAAATAAATAAATAAATAAATGGTAAGAATAACGTGAGCGGATGGGAGGGCGGGGGGGAGAACCGGTTCGGTGACATCATATCGTCACCGCTACCAGCTCGGCCGAACCAGACCGAACCGGGAGGGACCCACCACTGGTTAGACTAAATGACCTACGAGGTTCCTTCCAATTCTGTTAATCTGCAAGTTTAAAATGCTGAATCTCTGAAGAGACAACGTTTATCGTTCTTACGAAACAGAGTACAGCCTGGCAGGCGGTATACCGTATCTCTACGTGATCACCGGAAGGGGAAACCATAGCCAGGGAGGAGTTGCTCGGATCAAGCCAGCAGTTACAAAATACCTCACCAGCCACAAATTCAGGTGAGTTCTCAACATCTGGTAACCGAACGTTTGCAGTCTACATTTTAACCGCTTCAGGACTGGCGTTCTTGTTTTCTAGAAAGGCTGAATTGATAGTCTGGTCGTGATTCTCTGCAGGTAGTCCTCGACTTACGACCCGAATTGAGCCCCAGATTTCTTGTTGCTAAGTGAGACAGTTGTTCAGTGCCCCGTTTTACAACATTTCTTGCCGCGGTTGTTAAGTGAATCATTGCAGTTGATTTAAGTTAGTAACAGGGTTATTCAGTGAATCTGGCTTCCCCGTTGACTATGCTTGCAGGAAGGTCGCAAAAAAGGGGGGGGTCACGTGACCATGGGACATGTTCGTTTAGTGACCATTTCAAGTTACAACATCACTGAAAAAGTGACTGATGACCCTTTTTTTGCACTTAGCAACTATGACAGCATCCCCGTGGTCATGTGATCACAAAATTCAGACGCTTGGCAACTAACTCTTACTTTTGATGGTTGCAACGTCCCGGGGTCACATGATCTCCTTTTGTTGACCTTCTGACAAGCCCAAGTCAATGAGGAAGCCAAATTCACTTAATAACTGTGTTACTAATTTAACAACTGCAGTGATTCCTTTAACAGCCGTGGCAAGAAAAGTCATAAAATGGGGCAAAACTCACTTAACAAATGTCTCACTTAGCAACAGAAATGTTAGGCTCAACTGTGGTTGTAAGTCGAGGACTGCCTGTATCAACATTTGGATAATACTATCAAGTGTTTACGTCAGCCTTTTCACAATCTGGTCTCTCTCTGCGCAAGAGCCATTTGTTAAGAGTTTGCAGCAATCCAACCAGCACACAAGTAAATAATTCAGCAGGATTCATGTATAAAAGAAACTTCTCTATATACAGTAATATAAATCATGATGCATGTATACAATACCCATGCAGCAGAAGCCAGAACCAGAAATCACAGAAGCACAGAATCAATATAATCACAGAGGCTGTATAATACAGAGGCTATATTGCAAGGACAAAGCAACTCATATATACAAATCACTATATATACCTGGGCATGGCTTATATACTAAGCCACGCCCAGGCTCCAAGCCATCTGGGTCACCAAACAGTCCCCATTGGCTGACCTGTTACCATGTCTATTCCAATTCATGAACTCTCATACACTGACACCATTGCACCTATGATACTTTTTAAAACGCCAACCCAGGGGTGAAATCCAGCAGGTTCTGACAGATTCTGGAGAACCGGTAGTGGAAATTTTGAGCAGTTCAGAGAACCGGTAGCGGAAATTTTGAGTAATTTGGAGAACCCGCAAATACCACCTCTGGCTGGCCCCAGAGGAGTAGGAATGGGGATTTTGCAATATCCTTCCTCTAGGAGTGGGGAGGGAATGGGGATTTTGCAATATCCTTCCTCCAGGAGTGGGGAGGGAATGGGGATTTTGCAGTATCCTTCCCCTGCCATGCCCACCCACCAAGCCACGCCCACCGAACTGGTAGTAAAAAAAAATGGATTTCACCACTGTGCCAACTGTATCCATGGTCACACACACACAAAAATACCGCAACCCAAATAATGAAACTTAATCCAAAGATTATGTCTCTGCCTGCACAGCTTCTCCCTCACGCAAGCCAGAGAAGTTTTGTTATAACGTCGTAATTGAAACAGAAGGAAGAATAGCTTTGTTCCTTCTATTCACTGTTGTTTGAATTCATGATTCAGAACAGTATTTTAAGTTAAATCTTCTTCCTGTTCGGCAGGTTCACAGAAATAAAGTCTGGCTGTTTTAAGATCTTGTTGGAATAAAAAGGAAGTCACCAAGAGGATCGGAAAAGCTGAGGTTACACCAAAGCAGAAACGTTTTAATGGGAGAAATGTGCGACTTGTCCAAAACAAAGTTTCGGTGGAAAGGGCTTAACTGTCAGCAGGTGTTTGTGTCAAATGTGTTTTTCTCTACCAAATCTTCGTGTGTGTGTGTGTGTTTTAATGAGAAGTATTTTTATAAGCCTTCTGCTTATCAAGAAGTATACTCAGTTAACTACCTTCGGAACAAAATATACATTTTTTCAAAGAGAAGCAGGGGTTCCAATCGGAAACGCCTCTGCCCTTTTCAGACTATTAACAAATATCCATAAACACCTGGAATATAGTGCTTTTTTTTTTTTTTTTTTAAAAAGGTCTCTATTCCATTTTAAAGCAATTCTTGAAATTATGGCTGAGCTTACATCGGGATGCTTCGAAGGACTCTACGAGGTTTCGGGTTATAAGAGCTAATGGTTATTTGCCTCCGGTGTGTTTTTTCACAAGAATCCTTGGCTCACTTCCGAAAAGCGGGGGAACGCGGAATGGGTTGCATTTATTTTCAGGGCAAAAAACGAAATGTGGTAGCTTGTATCTTAGCTTTTCAGATCTCTTCTCCTCCTGTTTATCTCTCTTAATGCGTTGACAGGCTGCCTGATGGGGACAGTAAAAAATGTTACGAGAAAGAACAGGCAGGGGCTATTCACTTAGAGGTTTGGCCTTGACTGCTTATTTGGGTGAGTGTCGTTTGCTAAGAATTGGGCCCTGTTATTGCAAGGATAATTCACAACTTGGGTGCTTTTGATGCTCCCACAGAACTCAGTATGAGCAAGCCGAGCCTGTCAATATTAAGACCTGCCATTAAGTGCAACAAGCATTGAACAACGAATACAGAAGTGTACATTCAGTGTATATCTTTGCGTTGTGGCTTCTAGAGATGTGAGCAAAATTCCAGCCTGCAATGGTTATTGCCAATACCTCTGGAAAAGAAATATAAGGAGACCCCACCTTAACGCCATAAAAATGACGCAGGTTCTCTTAAAGAAAACACCAGCATCCGTTTTACGACTGCGTATAAAAGATGACCAGTGCTGAGCACATACTCATGTCATGAAGTAGAATAGAAGACTCCTATGGCAGCTATTCCAATTATTCTGCATTGACTGATTTTTTTTTCCCCCCCTCGTCATTTTGCCATGAATTTACAATAGTTTTGTCAAACTAGCATCTGGGAAGTCAAAGCATTATAGTGCATCCATGCAGGTCTTGATGGAATCTTTGTGACCTGGTTTTTAAAATCTTTCCTTAAGACATAATGTAATTGTACATTTGATATGTTGTTGTTGTTGTTTTTTAAAAAAAGATGAGATTGCTGAAGGGAATATGTGACTGTTTATGGTGTTTTTAAAAACACATTTCTGAGTCGGAATATATATAGGGTGATTCCCGAGCTGAATTTCTGCCATGGTATTCAGTTCCTCTCTACCGAACCAATTAAGACAAACGGAAATGTTTTAAGATCATTTATTACTTTCTTGAGAAAAACTGAATGTACAATTTTACGTTTCTCCTTTCAAAATAGAGCAGCAATTTTTTCCCCCAAATACTTTTCTCTTTTCAGTAAGCTTTTTCCTTTTCTTAAAAAAAAAATAATACAGATTTTATGCAAGCCCGCACTGTGAGTTTCAGACATTTTTCAGATCCTTTTAAAACGGCATTTCAGTAAAAACTGGAACTAAAGAACAAGAAGGGAATAAATTGCAAGCATGCCCAGTAAAAGCTACTGCAATCAGTGTTATCTCATCCAACTCACAGTTGACATAGATTATTTGAAAACTGCCCTAAGCTTTCGGACGACATGACTGTGCATCTGGGCCTGTCTTACCACTGTTTGGCTCCCCAGGAAGAAAGAAAAGGGAAAGAAGTGTGCGACTAATCATTTCTCTTGGGACTTATTTTTTCCTGGTGGATATGTTCTGGACATAATGTTCCCATACGGTTCTCCAAAGAGTCCATTGTTATCATTGAAGGCCCAGATACATCTTCTTTCGTAGTGACTTCAAATTATTTTACTCAAGCTGCTTATAGGGAAGGTGGACTCTCCATGAAATGGATCGGATTAAGAACCGTCTTACTCTTCCAGAGAGTATTATGTTTTTATTGTACATTTTTTTCCCCTTTAGTTGCAGTTTGCTTGCTTCTATTACTGTAGTTTGGGACGGGGGCTTTTTTGTAACTTTTCTTCTCCCAGGGAGTAGCAGAGGGCAATGTCAGAACATTCTCCACCCACTCTCAATCAGAAGAAAACTCCCAATTGCCTTTTGTTTTAGGAATATATGGAATTACTATTCCATATATATGGAATAGGGATAGGGAAAACGAAAGATAAATAATTTTACAGATCAACTATTTTCCAGGTTTGAAAAGCAGGATAACTGGCTGTAAGAGCATATTAAGTGGGGGGAAATGTCTGATTAAGATAATTTATTGCTTCAGCTCTACCCGCATTCATTGAGAAATGGGACACTTATTTGTAAATCTTTGTTATGCCTGTGTTGAACAAAACAAATATTTAGGTATCTGCTTACTTCATTAATGTAATTGTTGAAACAATGCCTCTACAATTATCAGGACTTACATGTTTCTAATGAAAAACTACATTTTGTAGTCTGAATAACATTGATTGCAACATTACAACATGCCCAGAAGTAACATTTGTAATAGAAAACTAAAATTGGGAAAATTCTTATCTTTTAATATGCCAAAATGTATGGCAGAATAGTTGTTGTTTTTTCTGGAGATAGAGGGGTTTAAATCATTTATAATATCCCTTCATGCAAATCCTTCGATAGAAGCTAGACAGGATGTTTTATATTGTTCAAGTAGTTTGCAAAAAATTTAGAAGACGATTACACAAATAAAACCGGGATTTAAAAACTTAAGAAAAATGAATGCTACAGTCATTGAAATCTGCAAAGATATTAAGGGAAGTCTCCTCTTAAACAGGTTGCCAACATTTTCATAATTACATTATTACTTGACTGGTTTTCAGTAAAAGCAGCATTCAAATTTATTAAAATTAAGATTTTCCTTAGTCTTAAATTGAGGGGGGGAAATAACATTTCCTGTACCCTTTTTTTCATTACCAAACTTATTTAGATTGACCTCCAAAAACTTTAATGAGGTAGGAATTTTGGTTAGGATGCAAGATTTGCAATAGGGGCTCTGTTATTGGGGGGAAAACGTTTCTCAGGGTAGAAGTTTCTATGAGAAGTGCCTAAGGAAAATAAAGCCTTCCCAGCCCTTTTTCCTTCAACAGATATAATTGTGAATAAATATTATTAGCATGAAATGTGTGCTGTTAAATTTCACAAAAATGTTTGTTAATTGCCTTCATTCAGATGAATTTAAATTATAATACTAAATAAAAACTACAATGTGAAATATAAATATTAATTTACGTCATGCAGCTTTTCCCATGGATTGGTATGAATAAGTGACCGCATACGTAGCTTCCATAATACTTGCAATCACAACAACTTTTGATATGACTGCCAGTTTTGGAAACAACAGACGTATGTGATTACTTACTAATATTTATTCATTTGGCCCTAAATTGCAAGTGAATGTTCAAAGTGATAAAAATATTACCAATCCTCTCAAAAGAAGAACGTTGGAGTCCCAAGTACTGAACAGGAAATAATTTTGCATTAATAGTGCAAAAGATACATTAATGAAACATCCAGTATTGCAGTACTCACTGTCATATTATGGGATATATATGTGTGTGTGAATTCCTCTTGTTTTTGTTAAGCGTACAAATCTTATGTAATTCCTTATTTTTTATATATATATTGCTTGGTTGTTAGCACATGGATTTTTTTAAATAAAGAATTTCAAATAAATACCTTAATCAAGAAGTTACAGGTCATTTATTTAAACATTTTTTTCATTTTTCAATCTTCAATGAAACAAAAGCCCTATTTGCTTTAGAGGAGTAAGCTTTCTATACATAAAGAAAAATAAGATTGCGCAGAAATTAGTGCACATTTCCCATAAACATAGAAGTCTATAGAGGTAGTCCTTGACTCACTACTACAATTGGGATTGAAGTATTTGTTGGCAAGCAAGGCAGTTATTAAGTGAGTTGTGCCCGATTTTATGACTTTTTTTGCCACAGTTCTTAAGTGAATCACTGCAGTTGTTTAATAAATCACATGGTTGTTAAATGAATCTGGCTTCGCCATCGACGGCTTGTTGGAAGTGGGGTGGGAAAGGTTGCAAATGGGGACCACATGACCCCTGCTGTGAAATGTATTCTGGTTGCCAGGTGCCCGCATTTTGAACACATCATAATGGGGATGTGGCAGTGGTCATAAGTGTGAGGACTGGCTGTAAGTCACTTTTTTTCTCCCCCGGTGCAGTTGTGACTTTGGATGGCCTCTAAATCAATGGTTGTAAGTCAAGAGGATTGCCTGTATAACGGTCCTTTTAATAGTTCTTTTGCGCCTTAGGGAATTCTTGCACGGCTTGGGGAATTAGCGCCAGGCGCCCTATTTCGAGCTGTTAGGGCTGAAGTTGATGAGGCCAGCTGTAGTTTCTGGAATGGCGCCAAGGCAGTGATGAAATGTAAAATTTGTTACTACCGGTTCTGTGGGCGTGGCTTGGTGGTGGGGTAATGTGACGAGTGGGCGTGGCCAACTTTTTTTTTTTTTTTTTTTTTTTTTTTTTTTTTTTTTTTTTTTTCTTTGAAGAGGTTGTAAAAAAAATGCTTTTTAAAGCCTCTGACGATCCCAACTGAGTTGCCTGGTCGGCAGAGGCTTTTTTTTTTCCTTTTAAAAACATTTTTTCTATAACCTCTTCGGCCGAAGAGGTTGTAGAAAAAATGCTTTTAAAAGCCTCTGATGATCCCAGCTGAGCCGCGCAATCATCAGAAGCTTTTTCTTTTTACTTTTAAAAGCATTTTTTCAGCCAAACAGGTTGTAGAAAAAAATGCTTTTAAAAATAAAACAGCCTCTGATGATTGCGCGGCTCAGCCGGGCATGTGGGGGGGCAGGGATTTTGCCCCAAGGGCCACTGATCAGTGGCCTACATGTTGTGTGGGGTGGGGGAGAGATAGAGTCTCTTTTGTTTGTGTGTGTGTGTGTGTGTGTGTGTGTGTGAGAGAGAGAGAGAGAGAGAGAGAGAGAGAGAGAGAGAGGGAGAGAGAGAGAGAGAAGCAAAGTTAGGCATTTTCCAGTGTTTTGACACACAGAGCCCAAAAGGTTCGCATGGCAAATCACTGCCAGAATGGCATTACAGCTAATCCTTGACTTACAGCAATTGATTTAGTGACCGTTTGAAGTTAACGCCATTGAAAAACAGTGACTCGCGATTGTTTTTCACACTTACGACCACTATCCTCATGATCACTTGTTCAAAATTCAGGCACTAGGCAAGTGGCTCATGGCGGCGGCAGCATCCCGTGTGTGTGTGTGTGTGTGAACTGATCCCCTTTTGCGACCTTCTGACGAGCAAAGTGCAACAGGGAAAGCCAGGTTCGCTTAACAACCAGGAGACTAAGTAACAACCGTGGCAAGAAAGGTCGTTAACACGGGGCAAAACTCCCTTCACAAATGTCTCACTTAGCAACGGGCATTTGGGGCTCAATTGTGGTCGCAAGTCGAGGACTTCCTGTGTTTCGATTATAGGCCTGCAGCGCATGACGGGCAAAGGAACCTCCATGTCGAGTCCTCCATCTCGGCTGCCTGTTCTCTTTGTATCATCACCAGTCGGGGAAACTCCTTGCAGGGTTTCCCAAGCAACTTCCATAATTTCACTTGCAGCCTTGCACAAAACGACAAAGTCAACAGAAAAACCACAAGACAAGCTCGGCGGACGATGCAAGAAGCAGAAACTGTGGCCTCTGGGTCTGTTCCAAAACTGGGTTTGAAAGCGACACAAATTCACCCCCACCCGAAAACAGCTGTCTGTTACCCCAAACTCAGAAATCCAGATAATCCTCCACTTACGACAGTTCTTTTACTGACCATTTACGGTTACAACAGCACTGAAAAAAGAGACTTTAAAGAGACGGCTCCTTTAAAGTTGCAGCATCCCCACGATCTTGTGATCAAAATTCCGATGCTTGGCAACTGAGTTCATACTTAACGACCGTTGCTGTGTGTCCCTAGGTCACGCGATCCCTTGTTTGCGACCGTCGGACGAGCAAAATCAATGGGGTTCAGCCAGGTTCACTTAACAACTGGGTTAGTAACTTCTCAGCCGCAGTGACTCACTGAACAGCTGCAGCAAGGTAGGTCGTAAAATGGGACAACTCCCCTTAACAGATGTCTCACTTAACAGAAACGTTGGGCTCAACTGCTGTCATAAGTCAAGGACTGCCTGTTATGTTCTCTTGCTGAGGAGCTTCCATATTTACCTTTCAAAACTCTCCAAGCTCACCCCAAAATCGTGCAACTGAAATTCACCAGCAAAAAAATCAATTGGAAGTGTATCTTAGCTTTTGGGGGGGGGGTAGGATTCTCCTTCCCGAAACTCCCCGCTTTCATGTTTCCCCAAATTCTTTTTTTTCTCTCTCTCTCATTCCAGGAGAATCTCGGGTTCCTGGGGTTTATATGGGGCAGAAAAGAGGTGCGATCATGAGATGCGAAATGTATCAAGAAGAGTTTACGAGAAGTAGCTGCGGATTGACTTGAGTTCCTTGGTGGGCAGATTCTGCAGTTAGAAGCTCTCCGGAGCAGAAGAAACCTTTCGCGGAAAGATGGCAGGGAAATATGATGCTCCCAACTCTGCAACTTCCTTATAAGGTTGACACTGAGGCCACTAAGAAAATCTTTCCGATACAGCTTTCATGGGCATCGAACACTGAACCAATTGTGACCCCTATGTATTACATCACATCTAGTTCATGCGAAAATATGCATTCAGTATTTCAAAATCAGTTTTGTTTTGGAAAAAACAACAACTCTATAGTCCAAACTTTAAGACTTTAAGACTTTAAGGTTCTGCTTAGCTGGCATTATTAACCAAGCCATGTTCCCCTTATGTCCTTGTATGGCAGGTTCACACGTCTCCCCGAATAATAATTTTTTAAAAATGACACCATGTTAACTACACAAATTTTCCTTAGGATGACATTTATGGTAAATCACAGATATAAAAAAAGCCAGCTGGTATATCTGGGAGCCAATGAAATGAAACTGAATGCCCAAACTGAATACCTCATCAATGGCACTCTTACAACAAACTCACATTCCGATATGTGGTGCGAGTCCTAAATTGTGGCGTTTGGGTGATGCAATTGTCATGGGTATCCTCCCTGCATCCATGCTTCTCTACTTCTGTCTTCTAGTTATCAATCGAAGAAAATATTTGTAGCCCAAGGTCCTTGATGCCCTGAGATAGGATAGGATAGGATAGGATAGGATAGGATAGGATAGGATAGGATAGAATTAGGGATAGGGATAGGGATAGGGATAGGGATAGGGATAGAATAGAATAGAATAGAATAGAATAGAATAGAATAGAATAGAATTAGAATAAGGGATAGGATAGGATAGGATAGAATAGAATTAGGAATAGGGATAGGATAGGATAGAATAGAATAGAATTAGGAATAGGGATAGGATAGGATAGAATAGAATAGAATTAGGAATAGGGATAGGATAGGATAGGATAGAATAGAATTAGGAATAGGGATAGAATAGAATAGAATAGAATTAGGAATAGGGATAGGATAGAATAGAATAGAATTAGGAATTAGGGATAGGATAGGATAGGATAGAATAGAATTAGGAATAGGGATAGGATAGGATAGGATAGGATAGAATAGAATAGAATTAGGAATAGGGATAGGATAGAATAGGATAGAATAGAATAGAATAGAATAGAATAGAATAGAATAGAATTAGGGATAGGGATAGGATAGGATAGGATAGAATAGAATAGAATAGAATTAGGGATAGGGATAGAATAGAATAGAATAGAATAGAATTAGGAATAGGGATAGGATAGGATAGGATAGAATAGAATTTTTTTATTGGCCAAGTGTGATTGGATACACAAGGAATTTGTCTTTGGTGCATATGCTCTCAGGGTACATAAAAGAAAAGATACGTTCATCAAGAATCATAAGGTACAACACTTAATGATAGCCATAGGGTACAAATTAGCAATCAGGAAACAATATTAATATAAATCATAAGGATACAAGCAACAAAGTTACAGTCATGCAGTCATAAATGGGAGGAGATAGGTAATAGGACGGATGAGAATAATAGTAATACAGCCTTTGTAACTAGTTTGACAGTGTTGAGGGAATTATTTGTTTAGCAGAGCGATGGCGTTCGGGAAAAAACTGTCCTTGTGTCCAGTTGTTCTGGTGTGCAGTGCTCTGTAGCATCGTTTTGAGGGTAGGAGTTGAAACAGTTTATGTCCAGGATGCGACGGATCTGTAGATATTTTCCCAGCCCTCTTTTTGACTCGTGCAGTAGACAGGTCCTCAATGGAAGGCAGGTTGGTAGTCATTGTTTTTTCTGCAGTTCTAATTATCCTCCGAAGTCTGTGTCCGTCTTGTTGGGTTGCAGAGCAAAACCAGACAGTTATAAAGGGTGCAACTAGGGAACATCATCAATGCTAGAAGGAGGAGGAAGAGGAGAAGGAGGAGGGTGACGACTGTGGGTCCTTGATGCTCTCTGAGCTTTGCTGTTTTCTTGCAGACGTTTCATGACCCAACTAGATAGCATCATCAGTATTAGAAGGGAGTGAGGTTGCTTCTAGCACTGATGATGTTATTGGGTCATGAAATGTCTTCAAGTCATAGTTGGGTCATGAAATGTCTTCAAGAAAACAACCCAGCTCAGAGAGCACTAAAGACGCCACAAGGAGCAGAAACTGCCAAACTCAATGCATTCTTAGATCAAGCTGATTTTCTAAATCCATTCAATCTTCCTAGAGTAGTTACAGCATTAGGCGCTATGCAGACGGATTTTCGCAAGGATACAGAGATAAAGAACATACCTTACTGTTCTGTCCCCCCTCCTCATACAGGCAAACGTAATACCAAGCACGCCTGCCAATATTTTATTAGGTAAACAGATTAGAATTCTTGGTAGACAAAGGTTTTGGCAGCAAACTGCCAAATGCCTGCCAAGACCGTTTTCACTCCCATAAAACAGAAGAGGACTTATCTTCAGTCAGTTCCAGGAGCAACAAATTATCCACGAGACAAGAGTTTAATCAATGTTCAGTCCAAAATATATCCAAGCTGAATTTCAGAGATCACGATGTGACTTTCAGGTTTTTAACTTTGTCCGTCACAAAGCCTGAAGAGCAATCCCACCCCATTTTTATTCCTGATGGGGCATGGCTCCGTGACTCAGCTCAATCTCTGGCCCTCCCACGCCTCTTCCGTTGCTGCGCACGCTTCTCCGTCCGACGCTGCCTGGGATCAAGCCAGGATTCATCCTCCTCGCTCCCTATCAATTGGTGCTCCGATATGCCTTCCTCCTGGCACATCCCAGGCTGTTCCTCCTGGCCTTCGGATGGAACCTGAGGCATTGCCAGAAAGGAGGGTCCTGGAGAGGGAGGTCTTGTCAATTCCTCCCCATCACCTTCTGAGTCCTCTTCCTCTGTTAGGACAGGCTCAGGAGTTGGGGTCACAATACCTTACAGTGCTCTTCGGTGTCTCACCAGCCTTTGATGTATTGAATGTGAAATCCTAGGGGAGGCAATGTTTCATAATGATTTCTGTACATGTTTAGATTGCCATTACCAGAAGGTGGTGCTAGGAGAGTATTGCATTGTCCTGCGATAATTACATTATTGTACGTTGTTTCTTAGGGTTTCAATGAAATCCTCATTTTGTTTAATATCTATATAAAATACTGGCGGGGATTATCTGAGTTTGCGGATTGGCACCGTAAATAGTTCACAGGTGTAGGTTGTTTTTTTTTCTAGAAGAAGAGCACTTTGCATATCCTGCTTTCTTTGAAACTTCAATTACATCATTTGGAGATGTTGTGTCGTTAGAAAACACAACCACAGTGTTTTTGAGTGTCCTGTAAATAGCTTAGAGACTGGCAGAGTGGAGGTTGCGTCAGCTTTGTGATTCATGCTCCCGTATATTCCAGTCGGTAATGAGCATTCGGTCTACTCCTGTTTCATTCATCGCTGTCTTTCGATTTCTTGGTAAGCTAGTTTTGAAAACGTTTCAGGAACTTCAGCCAAGCCGAAGAACTTAAGGTTTTGCCGATGGTGTAATATGATTAATGATGCCACTGCTTCCTGGGGTTGTGTCTTCCGATCCTGTTTTAAAATCAGTTCAAGTGAACTTCCAAGCATTAAATAAACTTGGGGCAAAGCTCAGAATAATTTACGACAGGAAGGTCCAACCTTGGCAACTTAAAACACCTGTGGACATCAACTCTTAGAATTCCCCATGTCCACAAGTCATAAAGATGGACGCCTTAAAACCATCCCTTCCCAAATATATATTTGTCTGAACCTCGAATCATCTTTAGAGGCCTTTCTTTACATGTGTTCACTAAACAAAGTTAAGTTGGTGGCCACGAATGAGAATCCCTTGGTGGTTCTGTGGACTTGTCGAGCAAATGCCATCTAAAAGGGACATTTTGGGGCTCATCTCTTTTTTCACCTGGGCAGGTGATTTTTAAATGTCAAATGCCTGAACAATGTAGGAACTGTGTTTGTGTGTGTGTGTACAATTTTTATACAGTATGCTATTGCTAAGCTATTACATGATTTTTTTAAAAAAAAATCCTTTACATGCTTACAATCTGGAGATAGCTATAGTATTGATTATTTGTACTAGAAATATAAAATAACGAGGCATTGCTTCTTATTGCCTGCAACCAAAAAGTTCAAGAGAATATACTGTAGTATTGTCTTGTCTTGTCTTTCGTAACACTGACAAATTCAGTTCAAGCACATCGCCTCCCCGAGTTATTGCTGGTAACATTTTTAGACCCCCTCAACAAAGAAAAAAATAAACAAGTTATGCAAAACTCATCTCCCCTTGTATTTACATGGGAAGTCTTATAGCTGCTTTAGACAGGTAAATTATTGCGGCCTTAGAAGTCAATATTTTTTTGATCATGATCATTGCTTCACCAATGCCGTATTTTATTATGTCCGTGCTTAGTTATTTTGCCTACAATTTACACAGTTCTTGCCAATATAGCCAGAAGTGAAAGAAGACTGACATTCACCCACAATTTTGTCACATCTTACGTGCTGCATACAGAGAAGTTTGTATCTTTCCACTAAGCGCAGAATATTGTGTATCGCTTACAGTTTTGTACTCGTGCACACAGCTGTGTTTCACCCATATAACGGGTGAGAATCAAGTACATTTATCTAGCCATGTAAATACCTAACGTTCTGCTTCTTACAGCAATAAGATTAGAAGCTACAGGCTTCTATCCGGCTCCTGCAGTTCATAGACGACACACTTCGTTTTTAATGAAGAGATTCTCTGAGCTTGGCTATTTTCTTGCAGACATTTCATGACCCAGCTAAGGAACATCATCAGTGCTGGATGTAGGTAGGTAGGAACCAGGGGTGAAATTCAAAAATTTTCCCTACCGGTTCTGTGGGTGTGGCAGAGGAAAGATACTGCAAAATCTCCATTCCCTCCCCACTCTGGGGCCAGCCAGAGGTGGTATTTGCCGGTTCTCCAAACTACTCAAAATTTCCGCTACCAGTTCTCTAGAACCTGTCAGAACCTGTTGGATTTCACCCCTGGTATGAACTACGTAGCAGTGATGATGTTACCTACTTGAGTCAT